ACTCGTGGGGGGAAGGGTGTCCTTGGTGGAATGTGCCACCATCCAAGCTCTGGGGCGGCCAGGGGGGTTGGGAGGGAGAGGCAAGGCCCTGGGTAAGTGACCTGCTTTTCTGATGTGCCATAACCACAGACCAAGAGCATAGAGCACAGAAAATGACTGTGGATAGTCATTCTTAACAAGCAGAAGACACCTTCTCTGTTGGGGCCTTTACTTAGTAATTTTTCCCTTCAGGTAACCTCTGTGAGCTTGTTTTCTGAGTAATCAGGTTGGTGTATCACCTCTTTGCAACATTTCTGTGAAGAATGAGAACGTATGGTGTGAAATTACACCGTTAAGCAGCAGGCTACACCAGGGGCCACCGTACTGCAGTGTGAATCTCTGCCCACTGCTGTCCTTCTCCCACACCTCTTGCATGACAGAGTATAACGGGCTACAGTTTTCCCCTTTTCTTTCTTAAATATTTGACCCTGAGGGTGATGATTAGGGACAGAAGGAGAAAATAGAGCAGAATTTAAACACTTCGTAGGAAACATGCCACATAGAACAGCAGAATTCTAAAATCTGCATTATCATAGAGTATGTTTGGGGGCCAGGTGCAGTGGGGCATGTCTGTAATCCCAGCTACTTGGGAGGCTGAGGCAGGAGGGTTACAAATTGAGGGCTAGCCTCAGCAACTTAGTGAGGTCCTGCCTCAAAATAAATTTTTTTTAAAAAAGTATGTGTGGGAGACCTTGCCTGGCTCTGCCATGTTTAGACATGAGCTTTGAACACATTTCTTAACCTCTCTGTATTACAGTTTTCTTGTCTGTGAAATGGGGAAATAATAGGATACCTCTCTAAGCGTGGTTGTAAGAATGAAATGAATCAGTATATGAAAAGTGACTTAGCATTGTGTTGTGACTGGATATAGAAGTGCATAATTTTTTTTTCAATACTGGGGATTGAACTCGGGGGTTCTTTTACCACAGAGCTATATCCCCAGCCTTTTTTTTTTTTCTTTTAGAGAAGTTTTTGTTAAGTTGCCCAGGCTGACCTCAAATTTATGATCCTCCTGCATCATAATGTACCACTGTGCCCAGCTAGAAGTGCATAATTGTCAACTTTTACTTGTATAATTATAGAACTTTTTCTAAGGATTCTATTTAGAAACTATAGTCATATATTTATTTCCCTTCTACTTCCTAACCTGAGCTATACATTAAGTGCCAAACCTTTGAAGCATTATTTTTTTTAAATTTTTTTATTTTAATTTTTTTTTTTTGGTACGAGGGATTAAACCTAGGGGTGCTTAACCACTGAGAAACCCCCCCCCCCTTTTTTTGGAGACAGGGTCTTGCTAACTTGCTTAGGGCCTCACTAAGTTGCTGAAGCTGACCTTGAATTTACAGTCCTCCTGCCTCAGCCTCCTGAGCCACTGGGATTACAGGTATGTGCCACCACATCCAGCTCCTTTGAAGTTTTGTAATGATATATGCAGGACAAATTAGATCATATGGTTTGAGCTAAAGAGACATATCCTGAAGGTTTTATATTTTGACTTGTGAGAAGCTACAAGGACTTAGTGGTAAATTTATTCTTCACAATTATGTGTCAAAGAACAGAAATGAAAGTGTATTGGAAAGCTAAAATCCTTTAGATGTTTTATTTTTGATTATCGGGTCTGAGAGACACAGGGAAGGATCTGGACACATTCTTTCACTTGCTTTTCTTAATTTGGTCTGTGGGTTTTAGAAATGCAACAGCCACATTTAGAAAGCATGACATGCTTAATTTGGAAAGTAAACTTTTTGCAAGAAAGAGTCTCATACGCTGGGACTGTAGAGATTACTCTAGGTGTAGACAATTGTCGTACTGGAGAGATTAGGCACCAAACCATAGGAGACAAGAACTACACCTACAACTCTTGGCGCAAGAGTTGGATTGCTCTAGTAATATAAAAAAAGGGACTCCTCATTAAGAAAAATCTAAGAAAGAATTGAAGTCTGCCATCTGGTGGCAGAAAGGAGTCAGCTAAAATCAGCGAATATTTTTGGCATCTAGTGCCCTCATGCCACTTTGCTCAGGATGATGATGACTTTGGCATCTTGTGAGCCAACAGCAGCTTGTGTCTGCCCTTCTTGGGAGTTTCTAAACAGTTTCTAAAACAAAAGGTGGGAGGATTGTTGAGCATCTCAGTTGCAAGGCTCAGTATAGTCAGCCTCCATAGCCAAAGACTATGCATCTGCACATTCAACCAACCGGGACTGAAAGTATGGGGGGGCGGGCAGGGAATTGCCTCTGTTCTGAACATGTACAGACTTGTTCTTGCCATTATTCCCTAAACTATTAGAATAGCATACAATTATTTTCATAGCACTGACATATGATTTAAAGTTTATGATGGGGCAGTAGCTCAGCGTAGAGAGTGTGTTTAGCATGCACAAATTCCTAGGTTTAACCCTCAGCACCACACATGCACACACACAAAATTAGTATATGGGAGGATATACATAGGTTATATGCAAGTACTATGCCATTTTACTTAAGGGACTCAAGCATCTGCTGCTTTGGGTATACTCTTGAGTCCCTGGAACTAAATATCCATGGATACTGAGGAACAACTGTATAGAACCAGAAGACCCTGGGGAAGTAGGACCTGTGTGTTTTGGTGGCAATCCCATGACTTTTTCTCATTCACACACTGGCCCATCCACTCACTGCACAACTTTATTTACATATTTATTTGGCAATAGGAATTGAATCCAAAGGGCTTTACCACGAATGATATCCCCAGCACTTTTTTTTTTTTTTTTTTTTAAATACAGGGCCTCACTAAGTTGCTGAGGCTGGCCTTGAACTTGCGATCCTCCTACCTCAGCTTCTTGAGTACCAGGGATTACAGGTGTGCACCACTGTGCTGGGCTGCACAACTCTTTATTGGGCATGTAAACGTGTGAGAGGTGTGTAATGGACAACACATAACCCTGCCTTTCTTGAGCTGATCGCAGAGTGGAATCAAGAGGCTGCTGTGATTGCTGTGTATAGCAACAGACGCCCTCCTAGACTGTGTGATGAGACAGGGGCGAGACACACCAAGAAATGGGAGAGATCAGAGAGGCAGGAGGGATTCCTGGCTCCTTTTCTTTCTTATTTTTTAAAATTTATTTATTTGTTCTAATCAGTTATACATGACAGCAGAGTGCTTTTCGATTCATTATACACAAATGGAATACAATTTTTTACTTCTATGGTTGTACCCAAAGTAGGGTCACACTGTTATGCAATTATACATGTACCAAGGGTAATGATGTCCATCTCATTTCACCGTCTTTCCTATCCCCATGCCCCCTGCCCTTTGCCCCATCCCCATGCCCCCTCCCCTTTGCCCCATCCCAAGTTTCTCCACTCATCCCTCCCATCTTCCATTATGGATTAGCATCTACTTATCAGAGAAAACATTCAGCGTTTGTTTTTTTTTGGGATTGGCTTTACTTAGCATGATATTCTCCAACTCCATTCACTTACCTGCAAATGCCATGGCTTTATCCTGTTTTATGGCTGAATAATATTCCATTGTGTATATATACCATAGTTTCTTTATCCATTCATCTATTGAAGGGCATCTAGGTTGGCTCCACAGTTTGGCTATTATGAATTGTGCTGCTATCAACATTGATGTGGCTGCATCACTATAGCATGCTGTTTTTAAGTCCTTTGAGTATAGACCTAGGAGGGGGACAGCTGGGTCAAATGTTGGTTCCATTTCCAGTTTTCCAAGGAATCTCCATACAGCTTTCTTGAGTGGTTGCACCAATTTGCAGTCCCACCAGCAATGTATGAGTGTGTCCTGGCTCCTTTTCTTTTCTCTGACCCTGAGTGTCAGAGTTGGGGGTGGGCGTGGGGGAAGAAGGAGGAGAAGAAGGCGGTCCCTGGGAACTTCCTTTCCCCAGGGCCATATGGGGACTTGCTGTGCTGGCTGGCATGGGGCAGACACAGCTGGGCACTGTGTGGGGGGCAAAGCTTCCAGGATGTCGTTACCAGGAGGCTAAGGAGCACCTTCTTCTGCTCTTATTTTTGTCTTTTCTCATTTCCTCTCTCTCTGATTGCTCTCTCTCCTTTCATCTCATTTTCTCTCTCTTTGGTTTTCCTTCCTTCTCTCTCCTGTTTATTCTTTTACTTTATTTCCCCTCTTTTTCTCTTTTCTTCTCTATTTCTCTTCCTTTCTTGTTTTTTTTTTTTTCTGGCACGGGGGATTGAACTCAGGGGCACTCAACCACTGAGCCACATCCCCAGCCCTACTTTGTATTTTATTTAGAGACAGGGTCTCACTGAGTTGCTTAGCACCTCGCCGTTGCTGAGGCTGGCTTTGAACTTGTGATCCTCCTGCCTCAGCCTCCTGAGCCCCTGGGATTACAGGCCTGCTGCCACCACCTAGATCTTCCTTTCTTTATTGGGGCGGGGGGAGTAACCAGGGATTGAACTCAGGGGCAGTCAACCACTGAGCCACATCTCCAGCCCCATTTTGTATTTTATTTAGAGACAGGGTCTCACTGACTTGCTCAGCGTCTTGCCATTGCTGAGGCTGGTTTTGAACTTGTGCTCCTCCTGCCTCAGCCTCCTGAGCTGCTGGGATTATAGGCATGTGCCACCCGCGCCCAGCTCTTCCTTTCATTTATTGAAAAGGTCCTTTCTCTTTCTCCTGTAATCTCTATCACCTCTCTTAACCCCCTTGCCTTCTCCTCATCTTTTTATCATTTCCTGGTTTTTCTTCCTGGCTCCTCAGGTTAGTCTCAGAGGAACAGCCTTGTCAGAGGCCTGCAGGTGCCCTCTCTGCCATCTGCCAGCACACAGGTCTTTAACCAATTTGATTCTGCGGACTTTGTAATGCGCCTTACTTCACTCCTTGATGGTGTACCAAGCGTGGGTTTTGGAGATGGAGACCTTGAGATGGGCATGGAACCAAGTTTGGGAAACTGCTCTGAGTACTTTGTGTGGATTCAACATAATTCTCCCTCTTCCAGTCCCTGCCTTCATAACTACCTCTGCCTTCAACAAGGAGAGAACAAGACAAGCTGCGTCTCCACAGTGGTCTACGCACACAGAGGATGCCGGGTAATGTGCTCTTATTATGTTTTTCCAGTTGTATAGTCAGGTCTATTCAGAAGAGTCAACTTGGTTCCACTGTTTTCTTCTGTTATTTGTTCATTGACTTCCAAGAAAATAGGACCCTTCACCAGACTCGGAATGTACTGATCCCCCATTTTTGTGGGACTGTATTTATCTGTGCCTGATCTCTAAAAACAAGCAAACTGTATAAAAATGAGATGATATTATTTGATTAATTATGCTAAGGGTGTCCCTCTAGGGAACCATGGATTCTAGCACCATCTCTGATGAATTTGAAAGTGGCACACACTTCAACCTGAGGATTTTTTTCTTTCTTTTTTTTTCCCCCCCCCACTAAGTACTGGGGCTTGAACCCAGTGGCACATTACCAGTGAGCTACACACCTTTCTATTTGTTATTTTGAAACAGTCTTGCTAAGTTGCCCAGGCTGACTTTGAACCTGGAATCCTCCTGTCTTAGCTGGGATTACAGGGGTGTACCACCATGCTTAGGTAGAGGGTTCTTATTGAAACCATCCCTGTGCTCACTTGGGTCCACTCTTCTGCCATTAGTTAAGGGAGACCAGATGGCTGCATATTCAGATCCTCACGAGGCCACTCATTTGACTTAAGTTGTTCCCCTTCAGTTTTTTCTCTTTAAAGAATATTAATACCTACCACATGGGTTTGGTATGAGCATTTAATAGAATATAACATTGCAGAGATGTCTTGGTTAAGGTGTCTGGGGTTGACTGAAGCTGCATATCAGAATTTCCTACCTTAATAACTAAAGATACCAGTTACCTTTAGTTACTAATAAGTAGTACTTACCACTGTTAAAGATATCTCTCTCTCTCTCTCTCTCTCTCTCTTCTCTCCCTTTCTCTCTCTTCCTCTCTCTCTCTCTCCTTTTCTCTCTCTCTTCCTCCCTCTCTCTCTCTTCCTGTCTCTCTCTCCCTTTCTCTCTCTCTCCTTTTCTCTCTCTCTTCTTCTGTCTCTCTCTCTTCACCTCTCTCTCTCTCTCTGTTCTAGAGATTTAACCTAGAGGCAATTTACCACTGAGTCACATCCCCAGCCCCTTTTACTTTTTATTTTGAGACAGGGTCTCGCCAAGTTGCTGTGGCTGGCTTTGAACTTGTGATCCTCCTGCCTCAGCCTTCCAACTCGCTGGGATCACAGGCCTGCGCCACCACGCTCAGCTGTTAAATATCTTTGAAGCAGTGAAAATGAAAATTTAAAAAAAAAAAAGATTTTTGAAGCAGACTCTCCAAACAGTTTCCATTTAACCTATTACAACTCATAATTTGATAGATAAGAAATTATTCCATTGAGCTGAAAATACAAGTTTCTACTATGGCAACTCAGGATTTATATTATGTTTTGTTTCCCTGAGAACTGGAAAATCATGTTTCTTTTAACTACAAAATTTTCAAATATATACTCATATCTGGATGCTCCCCTGGGACCTTCAGAGTCTAGACATACATGGTAGAGTTTTCCACAGCCCAGTATAAGGTGACACTAACCTGTCATAGAAAACGTTACTCAGCTCCCCGTTTCTGTTCTCATCTGTGATGCCTGATGTAACTTCAATGTTCATCAGTGTGACAACAGATCATGCAGGTGGGTTGGGTGGGGAAGGTGAGGGCTGGGGCCATTTGTGAGACTAACAGCACAGGTGCTGGCCTGGGTGTTGAGGATATACCCTCCTGAACTCATATTTAAGGGTTCTCAGACTCATGCAAATGCTTGTTCAATTTATGTAACTTTTTTTTTAACCCTTGTCGTACCAGAGCTCAAACTCAGAGGTGCTTTACCCCTGAGGTACATACATCTCCAGCCCTTTTTATTTTTTGAGACAGGGTCTCACTAATTTGCTCAGGGCCTTGCTAAGCTGCTGAGGCTGGCCTTGAACTTGTGATCCTCTTGCCTCAATCTCCCAAACTACTGTGATTACAGGTGTGTGCCACTGCACCCGGCCCTTTTTTAAAATTTGAAGATAGAATCTTGCTGAGTTGCTGAGGCTGACCTCTAATTCGGGATCCTCCTGCCACAGCCTCCTAAGTCACTGAGATAACAGTCATGTACCACCAGCCTACCTCCCTTCCCCCAACCTTTCTTTTGGTACTGGGAATTGAACCAGAGGCGCTTTACCACTGAGCTACATTCCTGCTCCCTCCCCCCTTTTTTTAATATTTATTTTTTAGTTGTGGTTGGACACAACACCTTTATTCTATTCTATTCTATTTATTTATTTATTTTTATGTGGTTCTGAGGATCGAACCCAGGGCCTTGCATGTGCTAGGAGAGTGCTCTACCACTGAGCTACAACCCCATGCCCCTTTAAAGTTTTTAACATAATAAATAATAAATGTTTGAGGAGATCCCTGGCCCCTTTTTAAATTTTTTAAACAAGCATTTCACATAGCTGCCCAGCCTGGCCTTGAACTTGTGAGCCTTCTGCCTCAGCCTCTTGGGTTGCTGGGTTTACAGGCATGTGCTATCACGCCTGGTTCAATTTATATAATTCTTTAGAACACAAGCCAAACTACCAAGGGCTGGTTTGCTAGTAAAACATGTGCCTGTACATACAATTTAGTGATCTGATTGGAAAGGATAGAGGCTATCTAAATCTGCAAATTTCTGTTGACCAGATAATTCAATAACGGATTGAAAAAGAGTTAAAAAGCTTTTCTATGGTGGTCAGTCGCATGTTGTCAGCATTTAGTGAAAAAGAAACTTGAAGACCTCTGTGAATCGTGTGTGACTTGTGAAGATGTGACTCCATGTTCCAGTCTGCCAGATGCCACTGGAGATGACGACTTCCTAAGACTTTCCACAGTGTCAGGCCACCTCTGGTACTAGCAAGTGACATTATTACTTCTTTTGCTCTAGATACTGTATGGAGTTCAAGACAGAGTCCCTGACTCCTCACTGTGCTCTGGAGAACCGGCCCCTGACGCGGTGGATGCAGTATCTCCGAGAGGGATACACCGTGTGTGTGGACTGTCAGCCCCCGGCCATGAATTCTGTGAGCCTTCGTTGTTCTGGAGATGGCCTGGACTCTGACGGGTAAGGACGGGAACTGATGGAAGGACTTGTTACTCATGTTGAGGATCTGTCCTCTCCACACCCAGAGTGGCTGACCAGTGTGTCACAAAAAGGCATGATCTGGGCAGCGAGGAGAAACATCTGTGCAGCTGCCCCCAAGCCCAGGACTTCAGTTTTCTCTGTGGAACTCAGAGGCTTTCAATACCATAACTGCATGGGTCAATTTGATTTGGGTCATTTAATTTAAAGCTCTCAGATGACCACTGAAAACCTGTTTGCTCCAAAGCCACATTCTGAAGACAACTTGTATCTGAATCTCTTAGAATGGAGATTTAAAATATGCAAATTCTTAATCCCTCTTCAGACCAGCTGAAATCAGAATTTGGGGGAATGGATTTTTTTTTTTTTTTTCCTGGTACCGGGGATTAAACCCAGAGGTGCTTTACCACTGAGCTACATCCCTAGTCCTTATTATTTGATATTTTGAGACCAGGTCTTAATAAGTTGCAGAGTCTTCCTAAACTGCTGAGGCTGGCTTCAAAAATTGTGGATCCTCCTGTCCCAGCCTCCTAAATCTCTGGGATTATAGGTGTGTGTGTGCCAACAGGCCTGGCTGATGTAGTTTCTTAATAATCTCTTAGGTCAGAGGTCAGAAATTTTTTTCTATAAAATGCCAGAGAGTAGATATTTTCAGCTTCGCATCCCATACAGCAGCTACTATCTTAACTACTCAACTCTGACACTGTGGCATGAAAGCAGCCATACATGCTGTGTAAATCTTGGGCTTTATTCTAACAAAACTTTATTTATGGATACTAAAATTTGAATGTGTTACAAAATATCATTCTTTTGATTTTTCCTTTTTGATACTTGAAACTGTACAAATTATTAACTCACAATCTGTACAAAAAGAGGTCGTAGGTCAGATTTGGCCTATGAGGGGTCATAGCCTGCTGACCCTGCCCAGATGATTCAAACCCACGGTGACATTTCAGAACTACTGCCCAAAGGGGCTTTGTCATTAAGTCATAAAGGGATAGAGTCATGGGCTCAGTTCTCTAGGGTAATAACTCCACATACATCTATAGATTTTTCTGAAAGAATTGATGCCAAAAACATTTGCCATCCTGTAAATCTACCCTAGTCCTGATAACACCATTTATAACTAGGAGAAGGGTCAACTTCACACTGGATCAGCTATGGGACAAGGACCAATTTAGGTCATACTTGGATTATAGTTTTAAGAATGTTAGATGAAACTGATCAAAATACAGATTAAGAACCAAAATATTGAACTTTCCTGTCAATCGTTATTCCTGTTGTATGCTTTAATACTTAATAATTTGAATTTATGTTCATTAGTCACTTGTGCCCAAAGGAAGGCCTCTATTGCATACACCATATGAACAATAAAGCTGGTGAGGAATGCATATCAAATGAAACTTAATATTTAGATTTAATATTTTTCTGAATACCTCATCCATATTTTGACTTTAAATGATTTTATAATTCAATTTGTACCTAATAAAGTAAATATTTAAACCCTGGTTAAGGCACCAGTGACTTTAAAAATAATAATTTTAATAATATGGCTTCACTCTCTTTTCACTACTCTCATTTTTTCATTACAAAATCAAAGAATTGGAAAGGGATGAAAGAGGTAATTGGGTAGCTTTATAATTTAAATATAAATTGAAATAGCCATTCACCTTTATGTGACACTTGTATTCAGATCAAGTAGGAGAATTGAATACAGTGAACACAGTGAATTGACTTTTTTTGGTGGTGCTGGGGATTGAACCTAGGGCCTTGTGCATGCAAGGGAGGCACTCAATCAACTGAGCTATATCCTCAGCCCTGTGGGCACAGTGAATTGAACAAACAACTCTTCCACCATGAGAGTGTCCTCAGATAGGGATCAAATGGAAACTTACTTTGATGGAATCTAAGGAAAAGAAATCCCCTTTATGGTTATTTTTTTTAAAAAATTCTATTAGTAATGAACTTCAAAATTCTGTGATTGGGGATTGAAACCAGTGGTGCTCTACCACTGAGCTACATGCCCAGTCCTTTTTACTTATTTTGGGACAGGGTCTTGCAAAGTTGTCGGGGCTGGCCTTATTATCGTGACTAACATTTTCAAAAATATTGTTTCAGAAATCAGACTCTTCACTGGCAAGCAATTGGCAATCCTCGATGTCAAGGAACTTGGAAAAAAGTCCGGCGAGTAGACCACTGTTCTTGTCCAGCAGTTCACAGTTTTATTTTTATATAGATCATCATGTAACTATTTCAAGATGTGTTTGTAAGCATGCTGAATATTGTTAGGTTGTGTGTAACACTTCAGAAACTCTAAAAACTGTTGGGCCCAAGTTCCTGAACACATCATTGCCATACACTGAAGTATAGAAAGAAAAATTAGAGGCTAATTCTCAAGGAACATTCTCAAGGAATGTCTATATATCTTACTTTTATAAGTTGAGGACTTAGAAATGCTCCTGAGGTTTTATGTCCTTGACCTTCCATCCAGTCACAAAATATGTGTTGGTTTGCACTAGAATTACTATCCCATGCTCCGCTTTGGAGGAAGTTATTAAGGGTAACTACACTTTGACTTGCATCCTTTTCTCTCTATTCCATATCTCTTAAAAGTTCCTCACTTTAAAAAAACAATGTTATAGAGCTGGGCACTGTGACACAGGTCTGAAATCTCAGCAATTTAGGGAGCTAAGGCAGGAGGGCTGCAAGTTTGAAGCCAGCCTCAAGCAATTTAGCAAGACCCTGTCTCCAAATAAAAAGGTCTGGGAATGTAGCTCAGTGGTAGAGCACCCCTGAAATCAATTTCCCATACCCACCCAACCCCCCAAAAAATCACACATATTTCCCATACAATATTCCATAAATCCTGAATCAATAATTTCAAGCAAATTATCCCCAATATTTTCCACAGGGCAAGTTGTTTAAAATTTCAGTGAGCATTTTGCAATGAAAAGCCAACCAACTATGCTAAAAATATTGAGGGCAGAGATACTGGGATTGAATTCAGGGGCACTTGACCACTGAGCCACATCCCCAGCCCTATTTTGTATTTTATTTAGAGACAGGGTCTCACTGAGTTGCTTGGCAATTTGCTTTTGCTGAGGCTGGCTTTGGACTTGGAATCTTCCTGCCTCAGCCTCCTGAGCCACCAGGATTACAGACGTGCACCACCTCATCTGGCTGTAAAAATATTTTGAAGAAGACATTTTCTTCAGTTAATTGGAAAGATTAGTGAAATGCCCATTCTAGGCCAATAGGAATTCTTTTAAATGTTATAATTTTCATGAAGAGAAATTTTGGTGCCAATGAACAAAACAATTTCTTTCATTATGAAAAATTCTACCACTATTTGCATCTAACATTATTTCCAAAGCTTAAAGTCTGAAGTTGAATGGAATACTCTTTCAGAGCCCAACTTCAAGTTTAATTGAAGTGTGTGTACTACTCTTTTTCTGCAGCATGCATTTTCTTATGTTTTGGGTGGAAGGCAAAGGAAGAGGCATGGATTTCACTATGAATGCTGTGATCTTTCCTACTGACATCTCCTGATGTCAGTCTCCTTACTCTAGCAGGAGATCACTGAACTCAAGGCGACTTGGTGAGCTAAAGGGTCTGGGACGACAAGTCATTCTGCAGACAGCCACGGAGCCTAGACCCGGCTCCTCACTGGTGCTCAGCTTCAGTAATAAGCTGACTATGCCAAATATTTCAGTTTTGAAGTAGGCTTTATATTCAGAATATTATATTCAGAATATTTCCTTTGAAGGATTGACTCTTGAGATTTAAATCATATAAAATTCCTCTGATTTCAATGTTATTATATAGTTATTTACTAATAAACAGTTTACTAAAATAAATATTTCTTTTCTTTTTTTTTGGTGGGGCAGGCAGAATACCAGGGTTCAGAACAAGGGCACTTTACCACTGAGCTACACCCCCATCCCTTTTTATTTTTGACAGGGTTTTTCTAAGTTGTCCAGGCTGACCTCAAACTTGCAATCTTCCTGCCTTGGCCTCCCAAGTCACTGGGATCATAGGCGTGTGCCACCATGCCCTAAAACACATATTTCTTGGAATTTATCATGTAATAACAGAATGACAACAGCAAGATAGAAAAGGGATGGAAAAGTCCCCAATATGTGACACTGAGAGTAGTAATGTTTCTGACTATATCCTGATTTAACTGCCAAAATTATTTTAAGGGAAAATCAATGTTAGAAATTAATGATAAAAAATTTGAATCTCACCCAGGCTACCGACTTTAATTATAATGTCAGTATTAACATTTTAAGCCCATTTTTAATCAATTATAAAGCAAGATTTTTGATGATGTCTCTGGGTATTTTCCAATGTTGCTTAAAATGTTTATGTCAGTAAATAAACTTTCTTATTTATAAAAGTTCTTCACTGGTTTGACTAAAAAAAAGAACCCAAAACTTCTGGAATGGTCAGAGAATGCATAAAAATTTCACCAAAAGAAAAATAACAACAACAAGGTGAAATAATCATTAAGAGCAATAGTGTGGGCTGTGGCTGTGTGAGGCAGAGCACTTGCCTCACAAGTGCGATGCACTGGGTTCGATCCTAGCACCACATTAAAACAAATAAAGGCATTGAGTCCATACACAACTATAAATAAATAAATAAATAAATAAAGCTCTGATGCATTTATGGTTCCAATATGTGTTCCAACATTTAACATAATCCATTTTTCACCTTATGCATTTTATTTTGGTGCATAACCACTAATTACTTTCATATTGAAGTTATATTTTGGCTACTTTTATTCTTGAGAAAATTTCCTAAGCTAGCAGACGTTAACTATTAAATAATGGTTTTGAAAAGCTCGTTATTAATTCTAGCCAAGCTCGAGGAAACATGTCAGAACTGAAACACGTAGTCCATGTGATTAATGAAGAACCCAAAGTTTTTATTTTCAAAGTTAAAGATCAAAGTATTTAGAGACCTCTTGGCGTTCTTTTTTAATAAGCCCCAGTGTCAGGGTCCTTTCCGCAGGCACTCTGCCATGATTTACAGACTCAAAATCACTTATTAGACTGATTTTCAAAAGTGAATGTGGAAAGTAATTTGAACAAAAATAAATATGCCTACCAGGAAAGAAGGGGAAAGGAATTAGAAATAATGATCATGTAGAAAAGTGGAAAAGAAGGAAAAATGAAGAGTCGGGAGTGGGGGGGACCAAGATGAACTATAATTGCACCAATCTTTTTTTTTATGAGTCTTGTTTTTATTTGAAAATGTCATAATTAAGCATAAATAGCAATAATTTATATTGTTTGGGTCTCTTCTGGCATAAAGATTTTAATTAACCATTTTTTTCCAGGTAGGCACAAAACAGACGTAAAAGAAACAGGTTTGTGCCCTCTAAGAATATTTTAGTGAAGTTTCATACCAACAATTGCAAGTTGACAAGTTGACTTAGAAGGCAAGCCCTGGGTATTCTGCAGTTTAAGCAATCAGAAGATGAGCATTTTAAAGGGAAGCGATACCTCTAGGTTTCTGTGACAGATGCACATATATTACTCTCTCTTCAAACCCACTTGAGGTTACAGGACTTACCAAAGAGACCGAATCCATAAATAGATGAGAAGCTCAGTGATTTTAAAGAATCTTTGTGAAGATTGGAAGCAAATGACATTCTACTGATGGATGATCAGTAGACGTGGATAGAGGGACCTGTTCTTGTGGAGAAGATGGTGGAGTGAGATGTAAAAGCTATTCTTCCTTAGAGTGGGGAGCATCTTATGCTCCCACTGAGCATAAGATGAATTTTTTAAAGAGTTCCTTCCCCTTGAGACAAATCTGTGAAACTTAAAATCACACCAAGGCACATTATCATGAAATTCCAGATCTTCAGATATATAGAAGAATCTAAAACCTGAGAGGAAAAGCCAGGTCACATGTAAAGGATCAGTATTAGAATAGTATTGAATTATTTATCTAAAGCAACATTTGAAGCTAGAATAGAGTAATAGAGTAAAATTTGGGTAAGAAGTTACAAAAAATGCTGTGTTCAATAAAATTATTATGAATCAAATGTGAGGCTAGAATGATATTTTCGGACATGTAAGATACAAAAATTTTCCATTCTGTGCACCCTTTCAGGGAGGAGGTGGTCAACTTAAACAGTAGTGTAAACCAAGCAGAGGGTGCAGGAAATGAGGAGTACTCAGGAGAGAGAAGACAGCTTGCGATTGGCAGAGGATGGATGGCTTTAAGAAAACTACACCAGGGGCTGAGGTTGTGGCTCAGTGGTAGAGCGCTAGCCTAGCACATGTGAGGCACTGGGCACGGTGGTGGCACATCTGTAATCCCAGCAACTCAGGAGGCTGAGGCAGGAGGATCACAAGCTTTAGGCCAGCCTTAGCAACTTAGATCCTGTTTCAAAATAAAAAACAAAAAGGGTTGGGGATATGGTTCAGTGCTTAAGCAACCCTGGGTTCAATCCCCAGTACCAAAAACAAAGAACGAAAACCAGAATAACTGCCAGAAAGAATCCAATAAATTTTAAAGGAAGTAAACAAAATCAAGTTAGCAAACTACAGCCAGTAGTCTAAAGCTAAGCTATTTATTTTTGTAAATTATGTGTAAATTAAATTACACACACACACACACACACACATATACAGGAGGGGGACTGTTAAGTGGTATAAGAGTAATAAAATTATTTGTAAAATCATCAGAACACAGCTATACCCACTGATATATCGTCTAGAATTAATTCCAAGCAGAGTATGCACAGACTATGGCCTACAATATTAACTATCTGGTCCTTTGTAGAAAAGGTTTGCCAACAACTCTCCCACATCCCAGGGCTTAGATTGTAATATTTAATGTCATTATTGATGGGATTTGATGTAGGTTGTACCATTTTTTGTCCTCGTGGTTTTTGCTTCCCTCCTTTGTTTTTGCATTAAATGATTTTTAGTAAAGCATTTCAATCTCTATTGTTTTTAATTATCGTTTAGTGTATTTCTAAATTTTTTGGTACTGAGGATTTCACACAGGGGCATTTACCACTGTGGTACATCCCCCGTCTCCCTTTCCCTTCCCCAGTCCTCTGTTTTGTTATTTTCACACTGGGCCTCACTAAATTGCTGAGGCTGGCCTGAAACTTGCGATCATCCTGTCTTGGAAGTCTAGAGTCCCTGGATTACAGACCTGTGCCACCACACTTGGCTTAATGTATTTTTTAATCTAATGACCACAATATTTATAACTAACTTTTCTTGGTTTGAGCTACCATTATTCCTAATATTATACTTCATGTGAAATGTTACCAGTCCTAGAAGCCAAACCCAAACCCCTCTAAGCAATCCATTCAATGGCCAGGACTTGGCTGCCAACATTCCAATACTTTGCCCTCACCTCTGACTCGGACCAATAAGAAAAAGCCAAATGTTTCCTGAAACAATCCCATAAAATGTCTGCTGCTATTTGATTCGTGTCCAGTTTCCTCATGTCAAAAACTTCCGGAGTGTCTGAAGTTTGTTAGTTTTGCACTAGTGAAGCCAGAATTAGACAGGCAGTCAGTATAGATACAGGTAAATCGAGTCAGGTCGGATCAAGGAGGCCAATCTGAGTGAGTTGGAGACTGCCCCCTGAGGGACTGAAATGTTAATTCCTTCAGAGCCCTTCCTCCAACCCTTATCAAGAACCTGCACCTGCTCCAACCTATTGCTAAGGTAACGTGTCCCAGGAATTGCCCCTCCCTACAGGGAGCTATAAAGTTATTTAACGTGTCCTGGGCTGCTCCATCCTGCTCTTCTCCCTTCAGCTCACCTGTTTCCCACTTCTTGGCCACCCTACTGAGCATTTCCTAGGCCTAGTCACACACACAGGAAGGAGAGAGATAAACGCAAGAGAGCAGAACAAAGGAAGCCTAGGACAAAAAATGGCAGAATATCTCACTTCTTGGGATACCAGCTATGGTCCCTTTCTCCCTCCCGGGAGAAATCTGTTACCCATTTTAAAATAAACCCTGCTTTATATGCTTGCCTCAGCACACTTCTCTATTGTTATACTTCAAAACGTGAGGAAGCAGGACTTTTCCCTGGTTAAACAGCAGTATCAATAGTATAATGCTGACCTGCCAGAAACATGTGCCTGCCATATACAAGGGATTGTGATGGGCTCTTGCTACAGCAAGTGCTGAATAAATGTTTATTTTCATTATTGGATGGTCTTCATTTATTTTCACAACTCAATCTTCATCAATAGCACAATAACTGGTATAACTATATAATGAAAAATGATGTAGAAATGAAAATAAGCCATGGCTACATACAATTTGGATTGAGTCAAAGATAATGGATACTTATACTTCATTTAATTCCTTTAATGTCACAAGAGTAAAACAAACAAACAAAAAAAATACTCTCCCACATTTTGCAGATTGGATCAGAGTAGAGCAATTCTTCAACCCATGGCCAGGCCACCTACAACTCTGATTTGGCATCCTCCTTTTGTAGAACCTAAAGATCAGTCAGAGGTGCAGGTCTCTAGTACTCAGGTTTTTCTCTGAATGTGTCCAGTCCTGGGCATGTCCAGACTCCCTGGTATATGTGAGAGCTGGAGCTTCCCCACCTCTCTCTTCCCCAGCTGTTTCCTCTCAGGTTTTTTAGTCTGTTGCTGCTGTCCCATCCCTTTCCCCAGGTGGCTGCAGATAGCCTATTTTAAAAAGCTTTTGACAACACCACTCTGGAGGTTGGTCCAACTCAGCGGTGAGGAGGTGTGTGTGAAACAAATGCAAACTTTTGAGCTGAACCTCAGGAACAAACAGGTCAAAATGCACAACCTATTTTTTGAGGACAATATCTACATTGCAATCTTTGGCACTAAGTTGCCACAGCAGTTGCCAACTTGAGGACTAGGGTATGGTAGGAGGGTAAGGAAAAGCACCAAAACTTCAACCAAAATTTAAGTTTTCACCCAGGAGCAATGGTACATACCTGTAATCCCAGCAACTCAGGGGGCTGAGGCAGAAAGATCTTGTTCGAGGCCAGCCCGGGCACCTTGGTTAGCTCAGTAGTAGTACTGGTTTCAATCCCCAGTACCACACACACACACACACAAAATTGTTTCATGAAGTATTTCCTTGGTTGTTCTAGGTTTGTACTAGATATTGAAGTTCCAAAATTTTGACTCTCTTGTCAACTTCATGGTTATTTCAGTAGAGGGCCAGATCTTGGGAGTTCCCTATACTATTTTTGGTGACATCATCTTACATAATATTTAAAAATGATTAGACTTTAGAAATAAAGGATAGATTAGTGGTTGCCAGGGGAGGAAAGTATCATATACAAAAGCAACTTAAAGGATTCTCATGATAATCGAGCTGTTCAGGATCTTTGATTCTGGTAGAGAGATGAATGCAAACGATAAAATTGTTTAGAACTAGACTCTAAGTACAAAACTGGGGAAATCTGAATAAAATGAATGGATTCCACTAGTACAATTTCCTGGCGGTGATAATATTGCAGTTTTACAAAATACTTATACTGGGGAAAACTGAGCTAAGCATGCAAGGGATCTTTGCATTGTCTCTTAAGACTCCATGTATATCTACAACTATTTTTATTTTTTATGCAGTGCTGAGGATCAAACCCAGTGCCTCACATGTTCGAGGCAAGCACTCTGCCACTGAGCCACAACTCCAGCCCTACAACTATTTTTTAAAAATCAATTTTTTAAAAAAGAGGATTCAGATGGGAGGGACGTTTTAGGAATATGCCACCAAAATTACTGAGCTTATAAAATTTTTACATATTCACAAGTTAGATGAAAAGAATGTTATGTTTAAATAAATCTAAAATAGCTTTTAATAAAACAGACTTTTAACAAAGAAAGCACCAAACTATAGTATAATTGATAGTGATTTTTCTTTTTAAGTATATGAAGTAACAAAGCATCATACAATTAATGGCAATTTAGATTTGATGGTTTATGGTACATGTTTGGAATGAGGTGGTTGACTTATAAGTCTGTTTTGACTTAAGGTACTTTGGCATTAATCATTGATGTCTTGGATAAACACAATATTTTCGGTATAATAAGACAGACCTGAGTCAGGAACCATACAGTAATTATTCATGTTTCTGTTTATACATAAAGGACAACATAATTTCACGAACAATCAGAAAGTAGTATAAAAAACTTTAATAAGAAATGGACAAGATCATAAAATATTACATATGATTTTAACACAACTACCTGAATATTTCAATACTTGTTTGCTAAACAAATCACATAACACAAAATGCTAAATAATTCTATTAATATTTGACTAGGACATCTAAATAAATTAATGAAAATTCAAATTGTCTAGTAAGGTATGTTTAACCTTATTTATTAATACTATGTAAAGATGATCATGGTGAATACAACTTAAGCATTTACAGAATACTATTTATGTCCAATATTGACATATTAAATCAAAGCATCCCAGAGAACTCAGCATCAGGTTATAAAGAAGCTTTATTTAGCTCGGTGTAGTGGCACATGCCTGTAATTCCAGCGACTCAGAAGGCTGAGGCATGAGGATTGCAAGTTCAAAGCCAGCCTCAGAGATTTAGCAAGGCTCTGATCAACTTATCAAGACCTTATATCAAAAGTTAAAAAAAAAAAAAAAAGGTGGAAGGGAGCTGGGGATGTGTCTTGGCAGTTAACTGCCCCTGGATTCAATCCTTAGTATCAAAAAAGAAAACAAAAACAGCTTTATTTATCACTCTATTAACAAATGCTTTAGTAATTAAGTAGAATATTAAGGCCATAGATCAAGTTTCATATAAAAGGACTATTACTGTTCACTTAGTGAGAAAATTCATTTTCATGCTGTGTCTTAGGAGGCTGAAGGTATCTTATAGACACAAAATAGGTAAATAAAAAAACTGCTTTTTTCCTCGTCAGGTTTCATTTTTTTACTGGAACGAGATTTGGGGATGGAGTACTGAATTTGGTTGGAGTTAACATATTTACACTTTATCAAAATTAAAAAATTCTTGAAGAACAAAATGAGGCATATAATTTTACTCTATAGCACAAATCTTTGCTAAACTAAAAATAATGCTTTAAACAAAAATTTTGAGATACATCAATGACCAATAAGTTTCAAACAAAATGTAGTTATCAAAATATTTAACTGTCCTTTATCAAGCTTCAACAAATACATTCAGTTTTCACTGTCTGAGCAAATCAATTTTAGTTTCTTCATAGTCCTCCATCTGTCTTTTAACATGACACTTGTTCGGTTGTTGAATTTATAATGTGATAGTATTTTAGACCAGTTTCCCTCTCCATACTTCCTCACACCAGATCTCAAATTCTTGTCTTCTTCCCAAAGCCATGCCTTTTAAAAAAAGTAGAAGAGTTATTTCTAAATGATTCTGTAAGAACAGCACACTGTTTAAAAAAGAACAACTGTTTTTTTGTTAAAATAATACTTACAGTCTCTTAAAGATGGAAGAATTTCTCTATGTATTTCTTACAAAACTTATCTTCATCATTAAACATTTTAAGGGTAATTATTATTGCTGTTCATTTTATATAAGCTCTAGGACAGCTATTAAGCAACAGAGCTACTTGGTTTCTAGCCAAACCAATCTGTCCAACTTAAGGTACATTATTTCTTATGATGTTTTTATATATTATTCCACACCTCAAACAGAGTTTATAAATGTTTAGTACTTCATTAACAAACTCAGTGAAAATCCTATTCTTCCAACATTGGGGGAAGTATATGTGTGTGTATATAATAAATTTTCAAAAATACAATTTAGGGCTGGGGTTGTGGTTCAGTGGTAGAGCACTTGCCTAGCACGTGTGAGGCCCTGGGTTCGATTCTCAGCACTGCATATAAATAAGCAAAATAAAGGTCTATTGAAGAAAAAAAAATTTAAGAAATAAAAAATTTTTAAAAATACAATTTACCTGGGCACAGTGGCACACAGCTATAATCCAAGCAACATGGAGGCTGGGGTAGAAGGATCCCAAATTGGGGGGGCCAGCTTCAGAAAATTAAGGAGGCCCACAGCAATTTAGTAAGACCCTGTCTCAAAAAATAAAAAGGGCTGGGGATGTTGTTCAGTAGTAAAGTGCTCTTGGGTTCAACAACTGCCATAAACCCAAGACAAAACAAAATTTAAAACATTTAGGGCATTTTGGAAGAAAATGACAACATTTTAAAAATAAAATTGAATACCATACATAGAAAAATCACTGACATTTGGCATTTGCTACAGGTGACTAATTACTCCTTATGGTGGCAAGGAGAGTTTGATCATCTGTTATTATTTAATTTTACCAGACTATGTGGGAAATGTCCAAGAAGACTTCTGCATTTTTAGACTTACTTTTTTGGGGAAGGGGAGTGGCGTGGGGGTAGGGGCTAACTGGGGATTGAACCCAGGGGCGCTTAAACCCTGTGTTACATTTCCAGCCCTTTTATTTTTTATTTTGAGACAGGGCCTAGTTGCTGAGGCTGACCCTGAATTTGTAATCCTCCTGCCTCAGCCTCCAGAGCCACTGGGATTACGGGTGTGTACACTACACCTGGTTAGACTTCCACATTTTTAAAGAAAATCTTGTTTATCATCTTGACTTATTTGGATGAGGGGAAAAAAGTGAACTCATGTGCATTATTGATTGGAATATAAAATGATGCAGCCACTGTAAAAAACAATATGGTAGTTCCTCAAAAAATTTACAAATAGAACTACCATATGATCCAATGAATGATTCTAATTCTAGGCATATACTCAAAAGAAATGAAAGGAAGGACTCAGAAGAGATATTCATGCATTCATGTTCATAGAAGCATTATTCATAACAAGTAAAATGTGGAAGCAACTTAAGTGCCTATCAATGGACAAATGGATAAAAGTAAGATGTGGTGTATAGATATAATAGAATATTACTCATTCTTAAAAAGCACGGAAATTCTAACATATGCTACAACATGAATGAACATGGAACAACATACCAAGTGAAGTAATTTAGACACAAAAGGCTGAGTGTGCCTAGAACAGTCACATTCAAATATAGTTGAATGATAGTCACTGGCAGAGGAGGGCAAGGATTAATGGAGAGTTACTATTTAATGAGTAGTACAGTTTTAGTACAATTTGAAAGTCACAGCCTAGGACATAGGCTCACTAAAGAATGAGACCTATACACAGAACTTTTAAATGCTTCTCCCTGTCTCACAACATTTAATCAGGAGCCTATATAACACAGGATTTCAACTAAAAGAGGTGCCTTAGATCTCTATTAAGGAGCCTCAAGAGAAATCCAAAGTAACTAGAGACAAAAATAAGGACACTGGAGGAAAATTTAGCCTCCACACCAATAGCTACAGCAAACTTAGTAAAGCACAGCCTAACTCCAAGCTAGACAAACATAAAACCTCACAAAATAAGCTGGGCGTGGTGGCACACACCTGTAATCCCAGCATCTCAGGAGGCCAAGGCAGGAGGAGGATCACGAGTTCAAAGCCAACTTCAGCAAAAGCAAGGTGCTAAGTAAATCAGTAAGACCCTGTCCCTAAATAAAATACAAACTAGAACTGGGAATGTGGCTCAGTGGTCGAGTGCCCCTGAACTTAATCCCCAGTACCAAAAACAAAAACAAAACAAAACCTCACACCAAAGGCAACATGCAATAAATATCCAGCTATCAACAAAAATTGCAAGCATGTTAAAAGGCAAAATAGTTTTTGAAGAGATGAAGCAAGCATCAGAACCACACTCCAAGCAGATAATCACAGAAATTGTCAGGCTTGGAATTTACAATGCTTATGATTAATACACCAAGGCCTCTGAGAGAAAACCAGACCACATGGAAGTACAGAGGGGCAAATGTAAGCAGAGATAGGAAACCTATGAAAGAATCAAAGGAAAATGCTAAAACCAACAACACAGTAACAAAATGAATTGTCTTTTGTGAATTCTTTAATAGATTAGACAGAGCTGAGGAATCAGTGAAGAGAAACTTCTCAAATCAAAAAGCAAAGAGGGAAAAAAAGAAAGAATAAAAAAAACGGGAAAAATTTTCCAAGAACTTCAGAAAAATCACAAAAGATGTAACATATTTATAATGGGAACACCAGAAAAAAAGAGGAATAGGAGATTTGATGTAAAAGTGGCTGAGAATTCTCAAAAACTAATGACAAAGAACAAAATACAGACTGAGGAACCTTAGAGAACACCAAGTAGGGTAAATGACAAAATATCTATATACATGAATTTCAACTGCAAAAAGAAAATCAAGCATAAAATTACTTATGACTTGTGGTCATATACAGTGGCATAAAGTCCGTATTTTTCCCTTTGAAAATTCACCCAAAGAAACAAGGAAATAAACAAAATCCCAAACTCTGAAGAACAGAAACTAAAACAAAGTGTGGGGAGGGGGGGGGGGGGGGGGGTTTTTTTTTTTTTTTTTTACAACAAACCTTAACAGGGATATGAGGAAGTAGGGCACAGTTACTTTGCCTTCAGATCTCAGAAGGTCTGTGGTGTATAATTTTCCAAAGTAAGGAACACACCATGAAGTGCACACCCTATATCCCTGGTGTGCAAACAGCAGAAGCTTCCCTCAACCAAATATCACTCCAAATGGTAAAGAGAGCAGGTTTAAAAAAAAAAAAAAAAAGGAATCAAAGAGCAGTATGAGTAGCAAACAAGTCAAAAGTAGAAGCTGCTTGTTAAATTCATTGAGGGAAATATCAAGGCCAATATAACCTTGAGTCACAGATAATATCGCTAGTGGCTTGCAACTTGATGCTAGCTGTCCATCACACTTCAATAGGAACCATCTACAGATTGCTTGTCAAGAAAAACACCATCTGAAATAAAGTAAAAAGTTCCAGAAACAATAGAGTAACAAGCACCAGATTTATTTACCTGCTGTAAAAAAAACAATAGAAAAATTAGATAAAATAAATAAAAAATAGTCTGATATTGGACAGATGGTACAGGACTATACCAAGTGAGGAAATAAATTAAACCCTAAAATTGACTTGCCTTAATAAAATTTTCTGATCAAACAATATAATTCTTTGTTTTTACACATAGAAAAATCTTACATTGAATCTGTTGGAAGAATGAAATATAAAAGCTTTTAATGTGGATATAAGTCTCATCTTACCTGTAATAAACTGACTTTATGTTATAGCTTTGTTCATAAGTATTATAATTTAAGATACCTGTTTTTTCCTAGGTCGCTGTTTTTTAGGAGTTTTGGGTTGTTTGTTTGAAACATATACTCTCTTGCTTTCAGTGACTCTTCTGTTTTCTTCTTTTTCCTTTCCACCTAAAATTAAAAATATTGCCATCAAAAACTATTTTCATGGGGCTGGGGATGTGGCTCAAGCAGTAGCGCGCTTGCCTGGCATGCGTGCGGCCCGGGTTCGATCCTCAGCACCACATACAAAGATGTTGTGTCCGCCGAAAACTAAAAAATAAACATTAAAAATTTCTCTCTCTCTCACTCTTTAAAAAAAAAAAAAATTATTTTCACATAAATGCAAATCAAAACTACACTGAAATTTCATCTCATGCCAGTCAGAATGGCTTGAATTCATTAAGAATACAAACCATAGTAAATGCTGGAGAAGATGTGGAACAAAGAAACACTTTTACACTTCTGGTGGGATTATAATCTATATCACCACTATGGAAATCAGTACAGAGGTTTCTCAAAAGACTAGGCATAGAGGCACATGCCTGTAATCCCAGTGGCTCAGGAGGCTGAGGCAGGAGGATTGTGAATTCAAAGCCAGCTTCAGCAACTTAGTGAGGCTCTAAGCAACTCAGAGAGACCCTGTCTCCAAATAAAATATTTTAAAAGGGCTGGGTTAAGTGCCCCTAGGTTCATCTCTGGTAACACACAAAAAAAAAAAAGAGAAAGAGAGAAAATCATCATGCATATACACTTGCATACCCATGTTTACAGCAGCATAGCCAAACTATGGTATCAGCTTAGGTGTCTATCAGTGGATGAATGGATAAAGAAAATGTGGTATATATACATAGCAGTTTTTTTATTCAGCCATAAAGAAAAATGACATTATGTTATTTGCAGGAAAATGGATAGAACTTGAGACCATTATGTTAAGCAAAATAAGCCAAGCTCAGAAGGTCAAGAGTCATAATTTCTCTCACATGTGGAAGCTAGAGAGCAAAAAGGAAAAGAAAGGCGATGGTGGTGGGGGTTCACATGAAAATCAAAGGGAGATCAGTAGAATAGGGGAAAGGAATAAGGGGGAGGGGAGAGGAGAGAAATGGGAAATACTAGGGAACATTATTAGTCAAATAATATTGTTATATTGTATGCATGTATAAATATGTATCAACAAATCCCACCATTGTGTACAACTGTAATACACCAATTTAAAAAAATGTTGGAAAACTGTTCACATTAAAGGAAAAAGAGGAATTACAATTTTAAAAGCTATTACAAAGTTTCATCTCTTCTTAGCTATTTAAAAAAAGAACTCTGCATGTTTTTTTTTTTTTTCAAATCTGGAAGCAGTAAGGTACAAGAATCACAGTTGTTTAAGATCAGTCTAGCTTTTTTGTCTTTAAATAAGTCATCTTCCGGGCTGGGACTGTGGCTCAGTGGTAGTGCACTTGACTGGCATGTGTGAGGCACTGAGTTTGATTCTCAGCACCATGTATGAATAAATAAAATAAAGATCTATCAACAACTAAGGAAAAAAATTAAAAAAAAAAAAAAAAAAAGAAAGTCTTCTTTCCCTGAGCCTGTCTGTTCATCATCTGTTAAAGAAAGGAAATATATTTATCACAAGTGATCTTTGAAATTTTCTTATGATAATTTTAGGGGTACTTGACATATGAAGTATATATAACCTTTCCCTCAGTCAGTACAGTAAAACAAGAAATAAATGTATACATATAACAGAAGAGAAACAGAACTGTAAATATTGAAAGATGATAAAATTATTTAGATAGAAAACCTAAAAGAATCTACAAATAAGTAAAAGGAATTAGCAGGATGGTAGGCTATAAAATCAACACATAAAAAACAATGGGATTTCTATACACTAATAATTAGCAAACAGTTAAACAACAGGAGTCAGGTGCAGTGGAGCATGCCTATAATCCTAGCATCTTGGGAGGTTGAGGCAGGAGGATTTCGAGTTCAAGACGTGCCTCATCAACTTAAACAAGACCCTTTTTCAGCTTAGGTGTCTATCAGTGGATGAGTGGATAAAGAAAATGTGGTATATATACATAATAGTTTTTTTAAAACAGCAATAACAACAAAAACCCCACAGGCTGGCACAGGCTGGGGATGTTGCTAAATGGTAAAGTACCCCTAAGTTCAATCCCCAGTACCAAAAACAAAATCAAAACCAAACAAACAAAAAGCACACCAAGAAAAAAAATCAAGACCATTTACATTAGCAAGAAATGAATTCCTAGACGCCGGGTGCGGTGGAACATGCCTGTAATCCCAGCATCTCAGGAGGTTGAGGCAGAAGGATCACAAGTTCAAAGCCAGCCTCAGCAATGGTGAGGCACTAAGCAACTCAGTGAGACCCTGCCTCTAATTAAAATAGATTTTGAAACAGGGTCTCCCTATGTTGCCTAAGCTGACCTTGAACTTGGGATCCTCCTGCCTCAGACTTCTAAGCTGCTAGTAGGATTGTAGGCATGCACCACTGCACCTGGCTAAAGAAATTTATTTATGCATAGGAAGAAATAATATAATTGTTAGATCTCACTAAAATGATCTGTTTTTCAATGTAATTTCAAATAAAAAATTTAAAAAGGTTCTTTGAGAGGTAGTCCACCATAGTCCCTGAGCATCCCTGTAGTTCTGCTGAAAGTACACCTTTATTCATACCCTGGTACCATGTAGTTTCTATAGCTAAGCAGATAAGTCATGGAAATCACTATGCAACTGTTCTTTCCTGAAGGAGGATACTGGCTTGTTTGCTATTCACAACAATGTCATGTGGCGTACTCAAAAAAGTACTAAGCATTTGACACTGAGTTCCTCAGGTGAAATACAACCTGCTGCTTTCATATCATCAATCTGGGTTCACTGCATTGCCCATGAGACTTAGGGTTAGTGGATAAACACAACTATAGTGATTATCATGCAATTATACTGTAATAGACTGTCTTACTCTTGACTTGGCACACCTATGGAGTGAAAGGTTTATTGCTCATAATCTCTATGGTTGGGATTGTTTTTTGTTTTTTTTTTTAACTGACAATATGGAAGACCAAAATACTTTAGAATAGAAAAACATTCCTGAAGAAGAATACTATCTACCACATATTTGGTTATTACAAAACTACAGTAATTGAAACAATAGTGACCAAGAAGGTCCTGGGTTCAATTCCAAGCACTGCAAAAATAAATAAAATAAAATAATGAGACTATACTATAGCATCGTTGCAAGAATGGACCAAAGGTACTGGAAATGTGATGTATATATTCATTTATTTATTTTGGTACCAGGGATTGAATCCACGGGTGCTTAACCACTAAACTGCATCCCTAGCCCTTTTCATGTTTTACTTTGAGACAGGATCTTGCTAAGTTGCTAAGGCTGGCTTTGAACTTTTGCTTCCTCCTGCCTTGGTCTCTGGAGATACTGGAATTATAGGTGTGTGCCACTATGCCTGGTTGGAAAAATTGTTTAAGCAGATACTAGAAGGCTAAAAAAAGTAAAAAAGGAATTAACAGATAAATATGTATTAACAGACAAATTCAGGATTATAGTTGGGAGATTTCAACACCTCTCTGTAACCAGTAGAACATGTAGGCAGGAAAGGAGTAAGAATATTGAATATTTGAGTAGCATATTAACTTGACCTGACTTTTTTTTTGGGGGGGTGGGGGCTACTGAGGATTGAACTCAGGGGCACTCAACCACAGAGTCACATCCCCAGCCCTATTCTGTATTTTATTCAAGACAAGGTCTTACTGAGTTGCTTAGCGCCTTGCTTTTGCTGAGGCTGATTTTGAACTTGTGATCCTCCTGCCTCAGCCTCCTGAGATGCTGGGATTACAGGAATGCACCACCACACATGGTCTAACTGACATTTTAAAACACCCCATAATAATAGCAAAACTGCAGGATGCTCAGGGGCCATTATTCTTCTCAGGTATACATAAAGAGTCTCCAAGAGAAACCATATTCTGGACCATAAAAAAATATTTTATAAAATAAAAATTCTACAAGTATCTTCTTCTCAGACTAGACCAGAATTAAATGAAAATCAATCACACAAAGACATGTATAATATCCTTAAATTATTTGGAAGTTAAACAAGCTACTTCAAAATAATCCATAGGGCCAAGAAAAAGTCTCTCAACAGAAATGAAAAAAAATACGTTGAACTAAATGAAAATCCAACATGAAATTTGTGGGTTCAACTAAAGCAGAAAAAAGGAATTTATAGCATAAAACATACAATAATATTAGGACTATCTGAGCACGTAAGGAAAAAAAGAAACACCTATACAAAATTAAGGGAAAATTCAGATTAACCTCAGACTTGACCACAGTAGCACTTGAATCAAAGTTTACAAAGCTGTGAGAAGAAAGTATTCCTGGAAAATATTATATGTAGGTAAATCTTTTTTCTTAATTTTTTTTCTTTTTAGTTACACACAACAGTAGAATGTATTTTGACATATCATATACATGGAGTATAACTTCTCATTTTTGTTTGTACAGGATATGGAGTTATGCTAGTTGTGTCTTCATATATGAAAATAGGAAGGTTATATCCAATTCATTCTATTGTCTTTTCCATTCCCATTCTCTTTCCCTTTCCCCCACTCCCCAGTGAACCTCCACTCTTCTCCCACTCCCACCCTACCCTCACCTACTGTGAGTTAGCATCCGAATATCAGAGAGAACATTTTTGGGGGGGATTGGCTTATTTCACTTAGCACAATAGTTTCCAGTCCCATCCATTTACCAGAAAATGCCATAATTTCATTCTACTTTATGGCTCATTAAAACTCCATTATGTTGATATACCACATTTTCTTACTTACCTGTTGAAGGGCACCTACATTGATTGGTTCCATAGCTTAGTTAATGTGAATTGAGCTGCTATAAAGATGTGACCTATATCACTATAATATGCTGATTTTAAATCTTTTGGATATATGCTGAGGAGTGGGATAACTAGGTCAAACGGTGGATTCATCCCAAGTTTTCTGAGGAATCTCCATACTGCTTTCCACAATTGTTGCACCAATTTGCACTCTCACCAGCAATGTATGAGTGTTCTTTTTTCCTCATATCCTTACCAACATTTAGTGTCACTTGTATTCTTGATAGCTGCTATTCTGACTGAAGAGATGACATCTCAGTATAGTTTTAATTTGCATTTCTCTAATTGCTAGAGACGTTGAACATTTTTTCATGTATTTGTTGACTGTATTTTTCTTTTTTGGAAGTGTCTGTTTAGTTCGTTTGCCCATTTACTGATTAAGTGTTAAGGTTTTTGAGATCTTTATATATCCTGAAGATTAATGCTCTATCTGAGGTGCAGGTGGCAAAGATTTTCTCCCATTCTGTAGGCTCTCTTTTCACATTCTTGATTGTTTCCTTTGCTGAGAAGTTGTTTTTTAGTTTGATACCATCCATTTATTGATTCTTGATTTTACTTCTTGTGCTTTAGGAGACTTGAAGAATTCAGTTCCTACATTGACAAGAGAGATTTGGGCCTACTTTTTCTTCAAGTAAATGTAGGCAAATCTTGTAAGCAAAAAAAAGTAGACGCTTTTGGACATGCATGAATTTAGAAATTATAGTTAAGCCATTTTTTAAAAATCCAGCCCAAAAATAAATAAAATGAAGAGCTGAGGATTAAGGGAATCTTGGTAGAAGGATTTCGTAAATAGATCAATTTAAATACGATCAAACTTTTACAGGAATTATGGCTACAAAACAGGTTACAAATCTTGATTACATAAAATGTTAAGAAAAATGGGGGGGCTGGGGTTGTGGCTTAGTGGTAAGAGCATTTGCCTAGCATGTGTGAGGCCCTGGGCTCGATTCTCAGCACCACATATAAATACATGAATAAAATAAAGGTCCATAACATCTAAAAAAAAATTTTAAAGAAAAATGGGCATTGGTGGGACAGATTTTTGCTAAAAACCAATCAACAGCCAAGGCTTAAATTTATATTTGTAGATGCAACTGGACCCAGCCTTTCAAAGCATTTCATATTTATTCTTGATTTTGGAGAGCTCATATAGTGATGCTTCTTGTGAAACAATATTTGAAATTCACTGAATCCTTCAGATCTACTTTAAAAAATTATATATAAACATATTTGTAGATAACATGTAACCTGGTAATATTTTTCTAACCTTTAAGGATATGGGTCTGCCTAAAGTCTGAAAGTCTAATTTCAGATTCTGGTTAGGGTAGGTTCTGCTCACATACTATATAGCCAAGGGAATTTTAATTAACCTCTTTTTATCTCAACTTCTACCTTGATAAAAAAGGTAGATTTAAATATTAAGTGAATTCTATATAAAGAACTTTTAACACAAATAGTAATGATTATTTGCCAAATGCTGGTGAAGTTTTTCTGCATAGAAGGAATTTGGATGATTCTTTTCTTTCAACTTTTCTGAAATATTTGATTTTCTTCCAAATTAGTTTATCAATTTTATAAACCAAATATTTGTTTTTGTATTTGTGCTATCAAAGATGGCACCCAAAATTCATTTTTAAAAAAATGAAAACCTTTTCACAACCAAACTAATATCCTCTAATTGAGAGGACACTTGGTACTATTTAAGTAAACTAGATTTTTAAAATGCTAAAAATCATAAGACCTTATAGAATCAATATCCACAATCACTGTAAACCCCTCTGAAATGAGGTTATAGTCTTCAGAGTTTAACTACTCATGAGCTATGTTTACTGTTACTTGAATTTTGTATTATGATATTAAAAGCCCAAGAAAAGGCTCACATTATTCTAGTTTATAATTATAATTTTGAGACATTCTGTAGTAACAGATGAAGAAATTTGATTTTGGAATTTAGCAACATTAGGAAAATAATGGAGTTTCAGTTTTTTCATCTTTAAAATGAGAGTGATGACAGTACTTACAAATGTGTTTTAGCACTATATTCACAAATATTAGCTAATACTGGCCATGTCACCAGGTATCAGATCTGAATAAATTTATTTAATAATATTTATTGCAGGCCTACTTACTGTGCCTAGTGTTCAGTTGGTAACTTATGAGTATGGAAAACAAGCCTAATTTTCTTAAATCTCTTATTTTTTATTCTGATCAATAAAGGTCTAGACCTAATATTTAGGCTTCCACCTAAATAATTTACATTAATTTCACCATTAATACAGTGCCTAGAATAAAATATCGGTCAATGCATTTTTGTTAAATGAATACATAAAGAAGGAACTGATAATCAAATTACAATTGAAAATAATTTCAGACTGGTTTTCAGAAGCTATCCAAGCCAGGTATGACAGCACACACCTGTAATTCCATCAACTCAGGAGGCTGAGAGGAGGATTGCAAGTTCAAGACCAACCTCGACAACTTACCAAGACCCTGTTTCAAAATAAAAAAGAGCTGGGGATGTAGCTCAGTGGTAAAGTTCCCCTGGGTTTAATCCTTGGCATTAAAAAAAAAAAGTAGTAGTAAGGAAAATATATGGGATATATACGTTCTTCATATGGTCAATCCTCAGATTCTATTTCTAAATTTATCTATTCTCTAAAATTTGTCTAACTCCAAAATCAATACTCATGGAAGTTTCCAGGTCCATTGGTAGACGTGTCTTTTTTCTGGTTGATTTAGTGACATATTTTTAAATCTGTAAATGCTGTCTAGTGTTTCTCAGAGCAAGAAGGCTGTAATGCACCTTATAGAAAAATAGATGTTACACAAAGTTCATCAAGGCTTGCATTGTAGTGCTGGTGGCGGTAACTCAATGTTAATCAATAATAAAGTGCCTTTCTTAACAGCTAACAACTGATCAATACATAAAACAAGATTATGTATTAATCAGTTGGTTAAAAAAAAAAAGTTGTGATGAAAGGCTCAGAGGAATCTAACTTTGTATTTCTCCTAGGGATAATGATTCAGTATCTGCTAATTCAGTGCTCTCAAGACATAATTATCTGTGAATAATGAAATCTGAGTGTATTTGTGTCTCAAGAAAGTAATTACTTGAAGATGAAGATGATGAATACACTTAAGGTAGAAAACAAGTTTTACTATGTTACTATGTTACAAGCAAAAGAACTTTAAGCATTCAGAACTTTCTAAATTAAGTATCATCTCAAGTAACTATCATATTCTTTGTTCTCTTGTTTTCTGAAGTGTTTTGTATGTTGCAGGGTGACCTCAACTTTGAGGATCATTTCTGAGAACACATCATCTTTCCAATTCTGAAACTACAGTAATAGTACTTACTTTGAAGAGTTCCTACTCTCTCCTCTTTCTCATTAAAGTCTTGCTGCCAGCTTCCATGTTTCAATTTGGATATGAAGAGATTCTTGTGAGACCTAAACAAAAAGTGAAAGCATGTGATTCCAGAAAGACTAGTAAAGATAGGGAGGAAAAGGTACATGATTTATCACTATCTCTGTTCTAGGATCTTCTACTTTGGCCTGCTTCCTTCCATGCTTTCCTTGTTTAGTGCTCCATGTTAACTTTTGGTTTCTTAAGACTTCTGTTGTCAGACTTCCCTCTTTCATCTCTTTTCTCAGAAATCAAGACTCTATTGGCCTTCCAATTAGATCAAGGGGGGGGGGGCGGAATCAAACCCCTCCAACTTTCATTCTCCCTATGGCTTCTGAATTTATTTCCCCAAAAAAGAAATTCCAAAATTCCTTTATATGATAGCAGATGTAGGCTGTCTGAAATTACAAGATGTGATATATATATATATATATATATTTTTTTCACGTTTATATATTTATATATATTTTTAACAACCCTGCAAAGGTGGTATTACTCATTTAATAAAGGATTCAAAAAGTAGAGTGCCTGAGCTTAGACAGCTATATTATCTACACCTAACTAAAATGTAGGCTCTGCTACATTGTTATCCCTACAAATACTCTATTCCAGTTAATGATACTTCCCCTCTTTCCCTCTCCCAAAAGTTTTTCTTGTGCTCTCTGGAATGCCACTCTCAATGGCTTCACTAGTTTCTCTATCTCTGCCTTATCTAAAATCTAGCTCTTCTTTTGGGACATTTCTCTTCTTTGTGGCTTTCTCAAGTGGAGACTGGCTTAATCTTCCACTCTCTATAAGCCACAGATTCCTAGAGGTGGATCTTCATAGTATTTTAGTATTTTTATTGTTCTTTTGTTTCCTATGCTGGGGATCAAACTCAAAGCCTCACATGCTAGACAAGCAATTCCTCACTGAATTACATCCATAACCCCAATATAGTTTTCATTTACCAATGGGTACCATGTTCAGGAGCCTGTTTCCCCAGAAGTCTCAGTTCTTGAGGAATCAAGCTCCTGAAATATATCACCTTTTATCAATTCTCTATAGCCACTCACTATCCCTCAAAGAACTTCCCATCATTCATGGACCATTTTCTACACCTAAGTGCTGCCATTATGAATAATTTCAGTGTTTGTGGACAAATCATAGAACATCCTGGCTTCTCAAATCCTCATCTTCAACAATCTCTTCCACACCATATTAGCCACCCTCTCCCATGGTTCCATCAAGCATCCCAACTACTCTATTCTGAAACCGTTCATGCAGACTCTCATATTTATCGTCTGTCACAGCATTTCTAGATCAAAACCAGTTTTTCAAGTAATTTTGTTAAATTGGAATATGGGACATTTATCAGATATGTTTCCCCTATTCCCTTCCTGCCCCAGTATCACATCTTTGTTTCTATGACAGAATAAGTTTACTGAACACCTGATTTAAGCTCAAGTACTCCCTATATATTATTCCAATAATGCCCTTGTTGAAACAATGTAAAACAACCCAGATTCCAGAAGTAGGTCTCTAATTTGAAATTTTAAGACATATCAGGGTCTTGAGGATTTGTTGAGGTAAGCAGAACCCCGAGATACTTTTAATCATACCATTTACATGGCAGTTATAATAACATATTTAAGTCTGCATGAATTGTTTCAAAGACTTTTAAAGACAGAGAAGAAAAACATCAATTTACTTCACCTCAATAAGGATATTGTACCCTCTGAGGATTCAGTTACCGCAGACTGTTTGTCACTAACACTTTAAAAGAAGAAAAAATTTGTAAGAATGTAAATAAAAGCAATTTTGCCTAAAGATAGCACTTTCCACATAGTCAAGTCACATTTCGATTTATAAAAATATCTTTGGAAAGAAAGCCTGGTAACATTAAGACATACATAGTCCATTACAACATGGTTAATTTTTGCCCAAATGTGCTTATAAGAGGCATAAGGCATATATCAAGCTTCAAACATTAAGCATTTAATGCTTTCATCAAACATTCATAATATCATTCTTAAAAAATTTTCCATGGCCCTTATTTCCATGAATTCAAGTTTTTAAAAAAAGTTTTTTTGAGGTATGATCGATTTACAAAAAACAATGCTTTGTGTTTAATGTATACAATTTGAATAATTCAATTTTAATTTCTGATTCTGCCAAGTCTCCAATTGAACTTTTAAATAAATTCCCCTTTGTTATAGTTGAAACAGCTTCCAAAATATAGCATGACGATTTTCATCTCCATGCCTTCACTGCTTCTACTCCTCTTTTCTGAGGTAACATTTCCATCTACTCATGAAAAATCTCAACCGTCCTTCAAGTCCCTGCACAAAACTAATACCTCTACAAAGTAGTCTATCTCAATTCCTTTAGCACTGAGGTCTATCTAAAAACTTTAGCAACAAATTATAGATTTTCTGCTGTTTCCTGCCAATAACTGTTGATGCCTCAAATAGATTAAAAGCTTTATCATAGCAAAACATTTATTCCATCTAGTCTTAAGGAGAGTTTTTTTTTTTTCTTTTTAGAATTAATCTTTTATTAACAGTGTACATTTTAAATGTAAAACACTCAGTTCTTTCAAATATAAGAGTTACTAATAAGTTATAAAATGTCACAAGGCACTTCTGGGTCTTCAAGGAAGGAAGTTAAGAACATTCATTTTATTTTATTTTTAAGAACATTTATTTGATTTTTCTAACATTTATCTGACCTCACAATCATACTTCTGATGCTATGCTTGTTTCATTTGCATCCTGTTGACTGCTGTTCTGATACTTTGGTTTAATGCTTTTTTTTGCCCTGTTTCTGCTTACACGATAATATTGATGTTTGCTTGGTTACTGATCTTTATCCTGTCTCTAATTTTTATTTTAATCCCTGTAACTAGTGGACTAATAGTTCTAATATAACCTTGGTAACCAAGGTTACCAAGCCAATTAAGATGCTTCAAGACTAATAAGAACCTTCAGAAGGGGAGCTGGGGATTTAACTCGGTTGGTTCAATCCCAAGCATTTCCCAGAATCAGCCTCAATCTTAGCCCACTGCCCAGAACCAGCCTCCATCCTAGCCTCTGCCACAAAAGAACCTTCAAAGAATTCTAAAGACTAATGAGAGATGCAAACAGGTAAACAAATAAGTTACAATCTAAGGTAAGTCCTTTTTATAGATGTGACTTGGTACCATTGGAGCCCAGAAGTAATAACTCTGATCAGAGCTAGGCAAGACTTTGTATAGGTGATCTGTAAAGTAGACCTTGAACAACAAATAACAGCCTGCCTTAGAATAAAAAGAAGGGAATCCAAAATAGAAGAAACTAAGCAAGGGAACAGGGTAGCATTTTAAGATCAGTGATAAGTTCTGTGCTTCTAGAAAGTTTCAAGCATGTGGGCACAAAGGGGGATAACACTTAAGAATGAGATTATGTGGTGGCCCCCCTTTTTCCATGAAAGGTATATTCCAAGGTCTCCAATGAATACTTGAAACCATATACCATAGTTGAGCCATTAGTTCTCTCTTATCCGATAGTACTGGTGTACAGCAGTCCAAAAATATTAAATAGAAAACTGCTGAATGTATATTAAGATTTCAATTACATGCCTTTCTGAGTAGTATGTTGAAATCTCACATTCTCCCTGCTGTTCTGCATGGGACATGAACTAGCCTACTGCCCAGTATATCCATGCTATATGTGCTACTTACCCATCAGTCACTTATCAAAGCACTGTATAAATACCCCCTACCAACCCCCACCTTTTTTGGTGTGTGTTATTGGGGATTGAACCCAGGGGAGCTCTACCGCTGAGTTACATCCCCATTCCTTTTTATTTTTTGAGACAGGGTCTTGATAAGTTGCCAAGGCTGGTCTCAAACTTGTGATCCTCCTTCCTCAGCCTCCCAAGTAGCTGGGAGTTTAGGCATGCATCATCACACCCATTTCTTTTAAATGCAGCTTTATTTTATTTGTGGTGTTAAAGATCTAAACCAGGGCCTTGTAGATGCTAGGCAGGAACTCCACAACTGAGCTACACCCACAGCCCCTCAAGTAACCCTTTTTCCTTAATAATGAACCTGAAGCACAAAACGTAGTGATTTGGCATTTTGAATGTGCCAAAGAGAAGCCATACAGCATCTATCCTTTCAATAAAAAAAGCAAAAGCTCTCAACTTGGCAAGAAAAACATCATATGCCAACACTATTAAGTTCTAATGTAAAAACAAATATTCTAGCTGTCAAACTGTAAAGAAAGACCAAAATATTCATGTTAGTCTTTCTATTGTACCTCAAACTGCTCATGACGACCTTTAAGGTAAGAACAAATCTATCCATGAAATAGTGCAGGGAAAAAAAAAAAAGAACTTTATGCTAGTTTTGCTGTCTTACCTCAAACTTTAAATCTGTGGGCAAAGAAATATGATTTGTTTGAAGGTTAACATGTTGTAAGCTGAAGTACAGTACACAGCACATCCCCACTTTCTTTACCCACCAGGGTTAATTTTAAGTTCCAAGGCCTCCAAGCAGATGACTGAAAGTGGACAGTACTGAACCTTATAAAGTAAGAATCTACCAAGCACTGTAGCAGTAACATTTGTAGTCTGAGGTAAGACAGCAAAACTAGTATAACGTTCTTTTTTTCCTGCACTATTTCATGGATAGACTTATTCTTACTTTAAAGCTTAGTAAGGTCAACATACAGTGTTTCTTTTCCTTATTAGGTCAATAGCTTTCATTTAAGCTGACATTTAAAGAAAGCACTTAATGGGTTCTTTGTGGGATATCTAAATTGGGACATCATTATTTTTGCCCTTTGGGGCTATTATTAAGTAAAATAAGGGTTACCAGAATACAAATACTGCAATATTACAAATGTCAATTGATAATTGAAATGGCTACTAAATGAGTGATGGGTAGGTAGTGAATATAGCATGGATACGTTGGACAAAAGTATGATTCATGTCCTGCCTGGGAGAGAGGAGAAGGGTGCAGCAGGAAGATGCAAGATCTCATCATGCTACTCAGAAAGACACACAATTTAAGACTTCTGAATTGTTCCTGGAATTTTCCATTTAATATTTATAGATCATGGTTGACAACCTGTAAGTGAAACTATGGATACAAGGGGACTTCTGAAAAACAAAACAAAAGCAAAAAACAAGGCCATATAAAGCTTTGTAAGCCATGCCAATAAATTCTGACACATTTAGTAGGAAACGCGAGCCAAAAGGTTTTTAACCTGGGAAATGATTTAAACATCTGATTTTGTGAAAGCTAATTCTGGGAATTATGTCAAGGTTGGATTTATATGATAGAATTCTATGTAATAATCTATGATAAAAATGATGAAGGCTGGGGTTGTGGCTCAGCAGTAGAGTGCTTGCCTAACATGTGCCAGGCCCTGGGTTCGATCCTCAGTACTACATGAAAATAAAATAAAATAAAGGTATTGTGTCCAACTTCAACTAAAAAATAAATATTTAAAAAAAAAAAAAAGAGAGATGAGAGGCTGGACACTGTGGCGCAGGCCTGTAATCCCAGAAGCTCAAGGCAGGAGGATCACAAGTTCAAAGCCAGCCTCAGCAAGAAGCAAGGCACTAAGCACTTAGTGAGACCCTGTCTCTAAATAAAGTACAAAAAGGGCTGGGATTGTGACTCAGTGGTTGAGTGTTGAGTGCCCCTGAGTTCAATCCCCAGTACAAAAAAAAAAAAAAAAAAAAGAGAGAGAGAGAGAGAAAGAACACATTAGAGAAATATTTCTGAGATGATATTCTTAATACAAGAGACACCTGGATTTATGAGGTGGAGGACAGGACGCAGCAAAAAGGTAGATGAGAAAATGAAGAACTATACATACACTGCACTCAGTCTAGGAGAACATCAGAAATAAGTGAATGGTACTATATAAGGAAAGAATATAGGAAATGTGCTCATTATCTGCAAGAACCATGGAATAAGTTTTTATTTTATTTTATGATAGTATTACATCATAAAATAAGGAAGGCCTGGCTTCAAGGATGTTTGGGGTTTTAGAATCATTAAACCTTGATTTTTCTAAACAAAATGAAATAATGTATCCAATAAAAATACAATCTCTACTTTTCAAAATGGATCATAGAAAAAAGTCAAATGATAAATAAGACCTCGAGATGAACCAATGAGGGATAGGCCATTCTCTGATGGGCAGGAACAATAAAAGGAAACACTATAAGAAGACTAAGCCTCAGTCCTGAGGTGTTACCAATGCAGTATATATCCAACTAGAATTCCAATATCTATCTCTAAGTAAATAATTAAGCACTCCAGTTGTGGTCCCAAGAAGAAATAATATTATTTCTGTTGCCAAATATATTCATCCAGAAAACACAGAGACTCTGAATGAGATTATCTGGCCTTGAATTAAGGTTGGAAGCACAAAGGGAACAAACACTGAGTGCTTGTTTATTTTGTGGTATTGGGACACAACCCAGAGGTGCTTCACTGATGAATCTCATTCTTAGCTCTTTATAAAAATGTTTATTTTGTGGGTCTTCTAAGTTGCCTAGGCTGGCCTCAAACTCATCATCACCTGTCCTAGCCTCAGCCTCCTGAGTTTCTTGGATTAAATGGAGTGCATCATTGTGCCAGGTAGACTATAGATTTAACAGAAAAGATCTTTTTAATGATTTGAGTTGCATTTTCTTCAATAGGGTTAGCTTATAATGCAAAAAGTAAAAAATTACCTTTGGACTGGGGATGTAATTCAGTGGTGGTAAAGCACTTGCCTAGCATGTATATGGCCCTGGGTTTGATCCATGGCACCACAAAAACAAAAGCTAAAAGAAAAATCCACCCTTAAAAATTCCTAATTTTGCAGACGAAATCAAACTACTGTCTCTCAATACTTAGGACTAATACAACCTATTTCTCTTCAGTGAGAGAGCAAATTACTCGCTCTTTAGCTGAACATCATCTGAACTATCAGCTTACCCTTGAGAAGACATATGAACAATATTTAAAAATACTAGAATAATTCTTAGTGCATAATTGAGTCACATAATGAAGGTATGTGGGTTATGAATAGAACTAAGGGGCACAAATGATTCAACTTTCCAACCTCAATCTAGTTTTCTCAGCACATCTTTGCTGAGAATAATAAATGAAATTACCTACATTATTTAAGCCATAGTATTTTCTCATTCCCTATTTTTGCTTAGAATATATAATTTGTGTATGCCATGCTATAACTCTGTAGTACTTCAAAAAGCCAATGTTAATCATTAGTAAGATTACACACTTAGAACTTATTATTCTTAATAATAATGGCTCAATGGCATCACTTTTACATAAAGAAGGATCGTTTATAAGACAAAAAATTAGTGACTTTACAAACCTTTTTACTTTATCCAAATTGACTTCAGTTTCCATTTCAATATCATTACCATTAAGTTTATCTTGAGAAGTTATTTTTCTCGATTTTTCACTTTCTACTACTTTTGCTGCTGCCTTAGAGGGTTGTGTAGAAAAAAGGAAGAGGAAAGAACACATTAGGTTATTTAAAACAAATAACATTTAAATAACTCTGTTAATTCTTTGCCAATAATCATAGGCAAATATCTGTTCACAGAACAATAAAGGGTATCATGTTACTATTTTCACCAATAGGGTTTTTTTTTGGGGGGGGGGGGGGGGTACAGGGAATTGAGCTGGAGCACTTTACCACTGAACTATATCCCCTGAGTTGCTGGAATTACAGGCCATGCCCCACTGTGCAAGGCTCTCACCAATAATTATAGTAATGCTGGCAGCTATTTTAGCTACCTGCTTGGTAAAGCATTATGGAGGGGATCTTTCCTTGTAAATATATTTGACAGACATACTGATCTCTAGGCAATTTTTTTTTAAAGGAGAGAGAGAGAGAGAGAGAGAGAATTTTAATATTTATTTTTTAGTTTTCAGCGGACACAACTTTCTTTGTTTGTATGTGGTGCTGAGTATCGAACCCGGGCCGCACACATGCCAGGAGAGCGCGCTACCACTTGAGCCACATCCCCAGCCCTCTCTAGGCAATTTTAAGACCAAAAGCTACTAAAAAATTAAAAAATAAATAAAATCCATTATTTTGAAATAAAATTCCCTCAAATTAATCCAGCAACAAATTAATGCTGGATGCACAGTAAATAACTTAAAATGTTTTGTGGCCAAGATAGAATAAAACTGTTACTTAATATTTTTTAAAAATGTTACTTAATATTTTAAAGGACTGGGGCATAGTTCAATGGCAAAGTGCTTGCTAGCATGTGTGAGGCCCTGATTGATCCCCATCACTGGGGGAGTGGGGTAGGAAGGGTGGGGGCTGGGAATCCCTATTCAATCCAATTTTGCTTTTCCCAAAATGTTTAAAATTTACTGGCAATAAAACTAAATATGTGCTTTCACTTTTCTTAATTCATTTTAAGTTTTCCTCTTAATAACACAGTTTTAAAAATTTCCCCAACTCTTATTCTGATCTTTCAAAATTTTTTTATTTTAAAGATCTCACTATGTTTCCCAGGCTGGCCATGAACTTGTGTTCCTCCTGCCTCACAGAGCAGCTGGTATTACAGGCATAAGTCATAATGCCCGGATGCAACTCTTATTTTGAAAAGTTGCAAAAATACTACAAAGACCACCTATAAAATCCTTTTAGTAGGTTCATAAATTGTAACACTTTACCACATTCTTCTACAAAACCACTACACAAAATTCTGATTCAATTTTTAGGTACTGGGGATTGAAATCTGGGCTACTTAATCACTGAGCCACACCCCCTCAACCCCTTTTATATTTTATTTAGAGACAGGGTCTTGCTATGTTGCTTCGGCAAATTGCTGAGGCTATCTTTGAACATCCAAAACTCCAGCCTCAGGCTCCTGAGTTGCTGGTATTACAGGCATATACCACCATGCCCAGCAAAATTCTGATTGTTTTTTTAAGGCTGTTTCAACTATTTTTTATCTTAAGAATTTCTCTTAAGTCTATTGTTAAGACTCTCTGAATACACATACCTTCATTAGAAAAGTTGATGATTTTTCATTAAGCACATAATTCACATAACTCTTAATTTTCTTCATCATGTGGTTGTAGCTGAACTGTTGAAAAATAGAATGGAATGTATTTTTCTGAGAGATTATCATAAGCAATTTCCTTTCTAAAGGCTAAAGGAAATAGAAAAAAATGTATTAATAATATGCCACACAAATAAATTCCAAATACAAAAGAATTCATCATATTATTTAATTGGAAACAAGCACTTTATAATAAACTCAAAGAACAATTAAAAGTTAAATAATGTTTATGTGTCTAAAACATCAAATACTGAAAAACTGAGAAGGAAAGGGGATGGTAAAAAGGAAAAAATATATCAGTGTTTTATCTAAAACGGGATTTTTCAACTTTTATTGTCTCTTTTAATTTCTAGTGATTAGAATTTTAGTGCATCTCATTCTCATTGCTTCCATGTCTTTAGCAACATGATTTTACAATTTATCAAACTTTTTTCCTAGTTGTAATGGGAATGTTTGATGTTTGTAGAACTACTTATTTCACAGTTGTATAGTACTATTTGATCAAAAATATCATTTGTTCACCCACTCTTCCAGCATGTTGAGGATTTAGGCTATTGGCCATTATTGCAATGCTCCTAAACATTTTTCTTCATATCTTCTTGAGGATAGTACAAGTTTTTTTTCAGTAGTAATTCTTTCAATGCTGGATGCACAATAAAAAACTACAGAACTTTTTCCAAGCGCTGTGGTGCATGCCTGAAATCCCAGTGACTCATAGCTGAGATGGGAAGATCTCAAGTTCAAGGCCAGCCTCAGCAACTTAGCGAGGCCCTAAGCAACTTAGTGAGACCCTATCTCAAAAATTTTTAAAAAATTAAAAATTGCTGAGAATGTAACTCAGCAGTAAAGCACTCCTGGGTTTAATCCCCAGTACTTCCAAAAAAAACCAAAAAGTATGCTACAGCCAAAAATTGGAAATAATTTAAATGTTCAACAGTAGAATGAATAAATTATAGCATATTTATATGATGAAACAATGAGAGTGAACAAACTATTATTATAAGCAACATGGATCAATCTTACAAATATAAACTTTCTATATAATTCCATCATAAGTTCAAAAAAAGTAAAGCCAATCTTTGGTGGTACAAGCCAGGGTAGTAGTTATACCCGAGAAGGTAACTACTTCCTCAAGTGACTGGAAGATGCTGTTAAGGTTCTGTTTTTTGATCTAGAGGCTCCTCACATAAACATATTCCTTTTGTAAAATCACAGCTACTTATATACATGTACTCTTCTAGAGATATGCCCTGTTCAGTAAAAATTTCACTAAAAACATATAAAACCATTTTTCTTTGAATGTTAATTCACTCCAAAAATACTATGCTTTTAATATTTAAAAAAAATTCTATTGACTTTAACATTTCCCACAGGCAAATTACTAATAATCACAAAAATAACTGGAAAAATAAGCAAGTTAAAATGCATTCTTTATACCTGGGTTGCCTAATATGGTAGCTACTAGCCACACATAACTGCTGATTCCTTGAAATGTGATTAATTTGAATTTAGACATATTAAACATATAAAGTACACAACAGATTTAGAAGACTTGATTTTTAAAAAGGGAATATAAAATATCAATAATACTTCGATTTAATGTGAAAATGACAATTTTTTTCTAAAATTCTATGATTTCAGTTTAGACAATTACCGTGTGAGAATTTGCGTCAAATATTCTTTCAAAGACTTCTTTTGCTTCCTTAAAACTGCCATTTTCCATACAAACAGCTATAGCCTAAAGATAAAATGAGAATACACACCTTAAACTACTATATATCCAGAAATTTTTAATTACTGACATCAATCAAGTGAATCTGAAATACATTTAAAACTTTTATGCAGTTTAATAAGTTATATTTGACAAATAACAGAACAATTTACAATAGGGTATGAAAAAATGAAAAAAAAAAAAATTTCATTGGTCCTGCACATATTCAAAAACAAATACTCAACATTCTATCCCATACGTAAGCCAAATGTAAAGCAGGCATTAATAGATAAGAAGCTAAATGACGTACATTTAGGACCTATCTAAATATTAATTTTGAGCTACAGGAAAATAAGACAGGAGGTAAATGTTATTTTTGATAATTAAAATATAAAAAAAATTTGCTAGTAGTCAAGATCCCTGGAAAATTTCTACTAGAAACCTAGCAAGTCAGCTGCTTTTGAATGATCATTTACACATTAGCCTTTCTGATAAAACATGTGAGAAGATATTAGACCACCATTATCATCTGGGTAACTATAAACTTGGCAGGATATTTCTTGTTGCCTTATAAATATGTAAAATGATGAAAAGAACAATATACAAATGTGAAACAACAATAAACAAATGTGAAAGGGATTAGAATGTCTGGCAAGGATTATATTAAATGTTTACTATGTACTTATTGTCAACCCCTCAACCTTACAGTGTAGTAACAAAGGTTAGCTTTTTTCTAGAGCCCCTAAAGTCTGGAATAACATGAAAAATCTCTTCAACTTGAGTTCAAGTCTTAAAGTAATTAGGCCTTTTTCTGCCCAATCTTTTCATGTCCTAATTCTACTTGACTGTCATCACACTAATTCCTGGGAACGGGAAAAACCACTTAGATTCTCTACCTTCACCATGTTAAAAAAAAACAACTTTAATTTTATAAGAATGAGGAAAAGTTTATTTAACTGACAAAGTCTATACTATTGGCTTCAATGCTAGCAAAACATATTTTACCAATTATATCTCTAAATGACTTTTGGCTTCTGACTCTTAAATGGTCTATGAAAATTCTCAACATGTTTAAAATTTTATATACTCTTGCTTGCAAAAATCCATAATCTATTCTTAATCAAAAATACTGGTTTGGGGTTTAGCTTAGTGGTAGAGCATGTGCTTATTACTAGCATATATGAGGCCCTATGTTCAATCTTCAGCATCAAAAACCCAAAAAAAAAAAAAAAAAAAAAAAAAATTAAAGTTGCCTATTTAAAAAAAAATACTCCTTAAATAGAAATTGGGAGGGTACAACTCCTCAATTTTGAAGACTGCTTGATAATCTTTAAGTTCCAGGCGCTGGTGTGTATATCAAGACTACAAAACAAAGGTCAAAATTTCTAAAAGATTCTAAATTTTACTCTGGGTATCCTATCCAATTTCTATATATATATGCTAGTAATAATATATATATATGCTAGTAATTACATATATATATATATACACACACATGCTAGTAATAAGCACATGCTCTACCACTAAGCTAAACCCCAAACCAATTGTTTGTTTTAGATATCATATGCTTTCATTTTCTTTCACAATAACAACTGTAAGTACAAAGTAATATTCATACCTGAATTTTAATTAAATTCTCTATTTCTTCATGAAGTTTGTCATGTTCTTTTTCAATTGAAGCCCAAATCATCAGGGCTGATTCCAAGGGTGTAATTCGCTCATCATTTTCAAACTGTGCGTCTTTTAAAAAAACAGAAGAAAAATAAGTAATTTAGAAGACTTAAGTAGAACCTTACTTTATCAGCTTTTTAAAGATGCATTGCTTGTAAATATTTGAGTATATATTATATATTTATATGAGTATATATTATGTGCCAGGCACTGTTCTCACACACCAATTTAGGGAAGTGATTTTCTAAGTTAATTTGCTAAGATTTTTAAAACTGAAAAAATTCTGATAAAATTATAAAACAACTGAAACTTTTCTTTACTACAATAATGAATTCCTTTTGGCTGGATGCAGTTATATATGCCTTAATCCCAGGGATATAGGAGGCTGAGGCAGGAAGATTACAAATTTGAAGCCAACCTTGGCAATTTGATGAGATCCTATCTCAGAATAAAAAAGGGTTGAAGATATAGCTCACTGGTAAAGCACCCCTGGGTTCAATCCTCAGTACCAAAAAAGGAGAAGGAAGAGTCAGCTACCTAAGATCAGAATAATGGAAAAGGCAAGCAGTTGTCCAATTTGGAACTTATTTTGAAAATAGAACAAGACTTGACTAATGGATTAGATATGCAGAATGAAAAATCAACAGAGGAAGGTCTCTCAGGTTTTAATTAATGGATAAATGTGCTGACATTTACTAACTTAAGAGGCCTGGGTGAGGACCAAGTTTAGGAAGATCAGCATGAAGATATCAAGACAGCAACTATAGCTTATTTTCTAAATAATGATAGTATTTTTTTTTTTTTTTTTTTTTTTTTTTTTTTTGGTACTGGGGATCCAGAGGTACTCTACTACTTTTTTTTTTTTTTTTGGTGGTGCTAGGGATTGAACCCAGGGCAGCCTTGCGCAAGTGAGGCAAGCACTCTATCAACTGAGCTATATCCCCAGCTCTGTGTCACACATAATAATTGGATCTCCCTTCCTTTTTTGCTGGGAGGTTTCTGAGAAGAAACTAAGATATATTGAACAAATGCTATATGTAAAGAACTTCTGGACCCTTTAGTATATTTTCTCACATTTAATTTTCCAAACAACCCTGAATAGCAATGTTAACTTGTGGTCTGAAAATTTCCAATTGTGTCCATATCAGTTTGTTTTCCTCAGTAACAGGTTCTAACTTCATCCTTTCTCTTCCACATCTACTCTACCTCTAGTTCTTCCACTTGTGCTTCAGCATCAACTCCAGATCTAACCTCAGTTGCCAAACAAAGCAGGATACATGAGCAAGAGCTGGATTCATGTGGTAATACTCTGTGATTTTATGTAATACATGTTTAAGTAAGCAGTGTCATGTAAGTACTGCCCACCACCCAGAATGGAAGACAAAGCAATTTTATAAGTGGTAAAAACCCAACATAAGTATGTAATTATTTGCACAAAACAGTCATTTAAATGACCATGTTATAAATAGTCATTATTGATAAAACTGAACTAAACCTCCCTATTCCAATTTTAATTGAACTTCAAAGGAGATTAAATATAAACCACGTTTCCTTATAATAAACAAGTACTAACATCAAGTTTATGAAAGGTTTCAAATATCATAGTTGCCAGTAAAAACAATGTGTATATGACAGGCATCATTACAAAGTTATTGTGTATAAAATTTAAAGTGAAATCCCCAAGAATCGATAAGGCATAATTCTTCCACTGCAACACCAAAATTATCTGGGAACTTATTAGAAATGCAAATTCCAAGGCTCCACACCCATCCTACAGAATCTGAAACTCATGAGGGGCAGAAGGACTCAGCACTCTTATGTTTTTTAAGAAGTACTATAAGCAATTCTGAAGCAGGCTAAAGTTTGAAAACCACTGTGCTAAGAAGACAGAGAATATACTTTTACTTGCTTTAGATATACTTACATGAACTTACATTATATGTGTTTGTGTGTATGTGTTTATATGCTGTATACCTGTAGGTAAACTTAAATAAAAGGGGGAAGACAGCTCCCATCTGTTTCTTGACATAAATCAAAATACTTCTACTATAAGATAAAAACATATTTACCAAGGGATTTTCCCGCTGCAATTCTTGTCAAAAACTGACATATGTATACAGTTTTCAATTGATAAGTTGTAAGACTGGATAATCCATGAATTATGGCTAGAAAAGAAAAAAATGAATTTTATTAAAAACAAACAATCCAGCAGTGCCACTATGTGGTTTGTTAATAGGTTACAAATATCTTGTAAAAATTAGCAGAGCTGGGAGTGGTGGTGCATGCCTGTAATCCCAGTGGGGAGGCTGAGGCAGGAGGGTAACAAGTTCAAAGCCAGCCTCAGCAACCCTGAGGCACTAAGCAAGTCAGAGAGACCCTGTCTCTTAATAAAATACAAAACTGGGCTGGAGATGTGGCCCCCAAGTTCAATCCCTGGTACTCACCCCCCCAAAAAAATTTAGCAGAAATTTAGAGGTGTTATGTTTTACTTAAGTCAACTTTTTAAAAAAAATCTAAAAAAAAAAGAGAACCTTTCAGAATTAATGCTTTTCTTGCAAAATATAACTGACTAATATGCAGAATAACAAACACTTAAAACTACTTTCATCAAGCAGCATTTGTCAGGCGTGTTGGTGCATACCTGTAACCCCAGCAACTTGGGAGGCTAAGGAAGAAAGATTACAAGTTCTAGGCCAGCCTCACTAATTTAATGAGACTCTGTCTTAAAAAAAAAAAAAAAAAAAAAAAGTGGTTGGAAAGCAGTTTAGTGGTAAAGCACCCCTGGCTTCAATCCCCAGTACCAAAAAATCAAAAGCAACACTCTATAGTAACGAAAGCTTAGTGGTAGAATGCTTGTCTGGTATGCAGGAGCCCCTGAGTCTGAGGTCCAGCACTGCAAAACAAAGCCAAAAAGAATTCCTTCTATATTACCTCAGTCAGAAGGGTTATCATCAAGTATACAAAAAACAGTGGGGAAGGAGGCACATGCCTGTAATCCCAGGTAAGCAGGAGGCTGAGGCAGAATGATGGAAAATTAAAGGCTAGTTTGGGCAATCTAGCAAGACCCTGTCTCATAATACAAGGACTGGCTCTAGTGGGTCAAAGTCACAGATGCTGCTAAACATCCTGGCATAGGAGATATCACCAACCTCATCCTCCAACAAAGAATTACATGGTCCAAAACTTCAAGAGTTGCCATTCAGAAACCTTCCTTTACACATATCAATTCATTTGCTTAATAGTCCTTGACACTATTGTTACCAAAATTTTACAGATGAAAAAACTGAGAAACCAAAAGAATAGTATTGCTTCTTCTTCTTCTTCTTTTTTTTTTTTTTTTTGTAGCAAAGATTGAATCCAGGGGTGCTTTATCACTGAGCTATATCCCCAGCTCCCTTTTTAAAATTTTGAGACAGGGCCTTGCTAAACTCCTGAGGCTGCCACAGCCTCCCAAATTGCTGGAATTACAGGCGTAGACCAGATGCCCAGCTGCTTTAGGTCTTATCTCTAATAAAATAGAATGGAAACACTTGACATTTTGGACCATGTAATTCTTTGTTGGAGAATGGGGTTGGGGATATCTCCTGTGTCCTATAGGATGTTTAGCAGCATCCATGGCCTTTTTAAAATTTCTATTTTGAGACAAGGTCTTGCTAAGTTTTAGCCTTGAACTTTCAATCTTCCTGCCCAAAGACAATTTTTTTCTTTTTTTCCTTTTCTTTTTTTTTTGTGTGGTGCTGGGGATCTTGTGCATGCGAGGCAAGCATTCTACCAACTGAGCTATATCCCCAGCCCCAAAGACAACTTTTTAATAATTCTAATTATTACTAAATGACTTCATTCTAGGATTTAATTTTCTAATTAATGGTAATTATGGCTCCAGTGTATCCACGTGTGACAAGTAGAAGAAAGGTCCTTGAATTGGAACATTAAAGCATGGGTTCAGAACACCCCTTTTAACCTACCAGTACCTTAAGTTAACTAATTCAGTCTTCTATAAGATTATATGCCTACTCAGGAAGATGCATCGATATGGCTTGCTGAGAATCTTGTATTAAATACTAGCCATATTATAGATACACAATTAATTCAATGGCAACGCTAAATGAAATCCCGGGATATCATTTCGTTGCCCTTCAAAATGCTAACTCTCGTCTTCTCGTTGGGTCTACCTTTTCCCATCAGTTAAAGGCTGCTAGACAGATTTCATAGTTATTTTTATTCCAGGGGCTATAGTCAGCAAGTAGGCCAAATGAGATTTAAATAATTCACAAATTAACATTACTACAGGAATACCTAAGCAGAAGAGCAACAAATATAGGCAAAGGAGACGAGGAATTGGGCTGTGGGTCGGGTGCAATCTTATTCAATTCAACTCAATTTTTTTATCAGCCCTAGCCGCGGGTCTTAGTTTCATTTTTCCGAAGTGCAAAACAGAAGCTTGATGAGAAGAGGCGGAACCGGGATTCGAACAGAGGTTTGTTCAGCCGAGCCTCCGCCGAACCGCCGCAAGAGCCCTGCTCGCGACCCCGCTGGAAACGCAGCCTCTGCCGTCCGTCCCCACGCAGCCACCCGTCCCTCACCTTCGGCGCTGTCGCGGGTCCGGTGGAAGTCCTCCGAGCGGCCGTCGCGGAAGGCCCGGCAAAGAGAAAGGCAGAGGAAATCGAGCATCCAGCCAGCAGCCACTGCTTCGGCCTCCGCCACCAGGTCCGCGTCTTCCCCCTCTTCTTCCTCCTCCTCCTCCGCCTCCCCCCCCTCTTCCTCAGGGGCCCCCAACTGCATCTGACAGTCGGTCAGTTCCTGGTACTCAAACTGTTCTAGGTCTTCTCTGGCCCTCTCCATCCCCTCTCGATGGGAGGACTCTTCATCCTCCCCGTCCGCACGGCCCCGCGGGCTCGGAGCCGCTGAGGAAGCGGACTCCGCCATGTTGTATCGCTCGCGCGGGTCGTGCCTCTTCGAGCGGCGAGCAACGATTGGCTCGCGCTAGAGGGCATGGAGCATGACCACGGCGGGTCTCTTCCGTCGTTGAGAAACCACCCAATCACACCGCCGGGATGGGCGAGCAACTCGAACCTGGCTTCTGATTGGTCGGTTCCTGCTCCAGTCTCTGGACATTGAATTCCCCGCCAGTCTGTGGCCAGCGCTCTGCTGGTAAACCTGTGTCTACTGTAATGACAGGCTGGGCAGAGGTACTGATGCGGAAGCGGGAGTCTGCCTTTCCCCTTCTTTTAAAATGTAACCTTAACTAGAAACAAGGTCCGTGGAAACGTATTTTACCTACAACGTAGTTAAAAAGGAGATAGATCCTAGTGTTTATCTAACGCAGTACATGATCATAAACCAAAACTGAAAAGGACTGATACCCGTGTTTTCCAACTTTTAGGTGCATTATTTTCCGCCCTGGGGCTGGCTAAAAAGTAATTCATGGGCTTTCGAGTTTCTGTTCTCTAGTTCTGGCTTGGGGAATCCTTGAATTTTGCACGTTTAATAAGCTTTCCAGGTGATGCTGAGGCCCTTGTTTGAGGACCACATTTTGAGAACCACTGTTCTAGAAAGAGTACATTGTTAGGCTGGGCCTTGCAGCAGCACTCCTGCAATCTCTCTCTCTCTTTTTTTTTTAATATTTTATTTACATTTTAGTTTTCGGCAGACACAACATCTTTGTTTGTATGTGGTGCTGAGGATCGAACCCAGACCGCACCCATGCCAGGAGAGCGCGCTACCGCTTGAGCCACATCCCCAGCCCCACTCCTGCAATCTCAAGGGAGCCTGGGGCAGGAGGATTGCCAGCCTCAGCAATTTGGTGAGACAGTGTCTCAAAAAAAAAAAGAGAACATCTGGCTATGTAGGTCAGTGGTTGAAGCACCCCTTTACCGAGTTCACGCTACAGTACCAAAAACAACAACAAAACCCTTCGTCAATAACTCCTTAATATCCAGACTACATATGTATTTTTGAAATGTTCTTTTCCTGTTGTGTGCCTTTTTTTTTTTTTTAATATTTATTTATTTATTTTTCGGTGGGCACAACATCTTTGTTTGTATGTGGTGCTGAGGGTCGAACCCGGGCCGCACGCATGCCAGACGAGCGCGCTACCACTTGAGCCACATCCCCAGCCCCCTGTTGTGTGCCTTTTATACTGTTAGAATGGTAAACATAATACTGTTCCTTTCCATGAAGAATTAAGGTCCTGTTGAGGAGACAAGAAAGATACAAAGTACACAAATTCATGGGTATTGCTAACCATACCCTAATAGTGTTACCAGAGTCCTAGGCCAGAGGCCTGATTCTGGGGATCCAATAAATCAGAGCCAGCTGTAACAGAGGTTCACTTGATGTTTTGACTGTATTCCTTGTCGCTTTTTTTTTTTCTTTTTCCCAATCTTCTCCCTGATCTTCTTTCCCCTAACATCCTTCTTGATCTTCTTTTCCCTAATCTTCCTGACCTTCTCCTCCCTAATCTCATTTTCTCTGGATCACCCCTAGAAGCCCCCTATTCTTGCTAATGGGCAGAATCACAGCCTTTGGGACAGGAGGTCCCCCCCCCCTCCACCCCATATTTCTCCTTTGCCAGCAAAACAATAAATCGTTTTCCTTTTTCTTAAAACCGTGTCCTCATTATTTGATTGGCATTCAGGGGGCAAGGACCCAGCTTTTGGTAACATAGTTACCCCAAATATCAAACAGAAATGATAATGGTGAAAAGCATGAAAGGAACTTCCTGAGACAGCTACACCAGGAAGACAAAGGGACCCAAGTTTTTAATCCTGTCTTTGAGGAACAGAGGCGGACCTTGTAGTTTTATAGGAAAAGGAAGGAGGGCAAGGATTTGCACAACTGAAGCCTTTTTACAACTGCCTAAGTAGGTAATCTTGATCAGGTGTGGTCTGTCCACCATTTCAGAATTGGTCAGACTGGGTCCCAGATAAGAAAGTTGCTGTTGCCTGGGACTGACTTCTCCTCACAAGATGTTTATCAGATTAGATCTCATTCCTGGAATCCAAAGTGATTCAGAGTAAAGGAGACTGATGCAAAATGGAGGCAGAGATGCCAAATCTTATAGTCAACTTTTAGGCACCCATCGGATATTCATATGTATATATGAAGAGTCTAAGTCCTTATTACAATAGGAATTTGGTGGAGATGTCACTGGTGGAATTCCCAGACAGGCAGACCTTCCAGAAGGGACTTTGATGGAAAAGAATTTCAGCACCTGTCACTACGTAGTGGCACAGACAAACTTATTTAGGAAAACAAGGAAATAGACATTCAAGGGAGAATGAGAGCCATCTTGAAAGTGAGAAAATTGCTTTTGAGATTCCTGGCTTCTCTTTTAAAGGGAACTGGGGAGGGGTAGATATGTGAGGCTGATGTCTGTCTGGTCATTCTCAGGATCCTTAAGCTGTTGTGCTTTCCTTTCCATTCTTGGATTGATAAATAATGTTGGAAAGCTCCCTCAGTTATAGGTTTCTTTTTTAAAAATATTTTTTAGTTGTAGTTGGATACAATATCTTTAATTAATTATTATTATTTTTTTAAATGTGGTGCTGTTACCGCTGTTTACCGATGACGAGTCCTTGCTTCCCCAGTGCTGAAGTATAACACCAGACGAACATGCCCAGGCAAGTTTAGAATGGAAAGTAAAAGCTTTATTAAAGGACAGCAGAAAAGACTTCTGTCCTTTGTTCTGTTATCTTGCAGTGATAAAATGTAGGTGGGAAGGCCCAAAGGGTGGGGGACAGAGGGGCCCAAAGGAATAATGTGGGCAAGAAGGGCTTTTGGATTAGTATCTCTTTGTTTAGCATAGTTTTTGGATTAGCATCTCTTTGCTGGGAGCTGCTTTATTAACATTTCCTTGGGATGGGCTCCATCTTCACCTCACTGGATATTAGACAGGATGTACCTAACTAAAATAACTACCTGTCTTTAAATCTGGCTTCAGTGCTGGGGATCGAACTGTCCTTTGTTCTGTTAACTTGCAGTGATAGAATGTGGGTGGATAACAGAACAAAGGACAGTGGATTACAGAACAAAGGACAGTTCGATCCCCAGCACTGAAGCCAGATTTAAAGATAGATAGTTATTGTAGTTAGGTACATCCGGTATATCCTACCTACATTCTATCGCTGCAAGATAACAGAACAAAGGACAGAAATGCGGGAAAGTGCTAGATGGGCACTCACTGCTGAGCCACAACCCCAGCCCCAGTTACAGTTTTCTTTTTTTTTTTTTTGTCATTTAGTTTTTATTCATAATCATAAACTTAACTCTGCAATCCAGCTAGACTTGGGAGGGAAATAAGGAAAATATGGAACCCAAAGAACTGCAGCGAGACCACAAAGATTATGGGATATTGCAAGCAGATGGGGTGGAGGGGTGCTCTCCTGAGCTACAGGAATGGTTTGGTGGTTAAGATAAACACAAGTCAAATGTATTAGAGTTGTCCACAGTCGGAAATGGTGATCTTCTTGCTGGTCTTGCCATTCCTGGACCCAAAGCGTTCCATGGCTTCCACAAAGTTCAAGCCTTTTTCACCTTCCCAAAGACCACCTGCTTGCCATCCAACCACTCAGTCTTGGCAGTGCAGATGAAAAACTGGGAACCATTTGTGTTTGGCCCAGCATTTGCCATAGATGCCAGGGCCAGTTACAGGTTTCTTAAAGTGTTCTATCTCTCTATTGTTGTATCTCTCTTAATTATCTCTTGGGTTAATGAACAGTGCACCTGATGATTTTCTTAAGTGGGTGAATTTACAGTGACTAAAGTTTACAAAGCAGCCTTGGTGGTGAAGCCAGATTTACAGATAGGTAGTTAGTGTAGTTAGGTAAATCAGGTCTAATATCAAGTAAAATCAAGAATGAAGGCCATATTGAGAATGGAGTCCAGGAAAAGGGGAATTGAAAAAGTCCCCAAGGCCTGGAGCCATTCCAAGAAAATATTAATGAAGCAGCTCCCAGCAAACAGAGATGCTAATCCTAAACCCTTCCTGCCCAGATTACTCCTCAGGCCTATCTGTCTCTCAGCTTTTGGACCTTCCCACCTACATTTCAGCACTGCAAGATAACAGAACAAAGGACAAGAATGCATATAACAGGAATGCAGGAAATCTGAAAGTAAACCTTAGCTATAAAAAAGGGAAGACCTTCCCCTTCCAAGGATTCCACCTCTTGGGTCCCCTTCTTCCTCCGGGGAGAAGTCTTTTCTGCTGTCCTTTAATAAAGCTTCTACTTTCCACTCTAAACTTGCCTGGGCATGCTTCTCTGGTATTATACTTCAGCATTGGGAAAGCAAGGACTCATCACCGGTAAACAGCGATAACAATACCACAGGTTATCAGATGACGAGTTCTGCTCCCTCAAATATGGAAGTTTGAACATTAGAGAAGCACGCTGAGGCAAGTATATAAAGCAGGGTTTATTTACTTATTTATTTTTAAATAAATATTTTTTAAATAAAAAATATTTATTTTTTTACCTTTATTTTATTTATTTTTATGTGGTGCTAAGGATCGAACCCAGCGCCTAAAGGCGAGCGCTCTACCACTGAGCCCAACCCCAGCCCCTAAAGCAGGGTTTATTGAAAAAGGGGTAACATAGACTTCTTCCAGGAGGGAGAAGGGAGGGGGCCAGAGCTGGTATCCTGGTATCCCTAGAAGCAAGGGTTCTGACCTTTTTATATGTCCTAGGCTTCCTTTGTTCTCCTGCTATCTTCCCCTTATCTCTCTCCTTCCTGCTGGGCATTTGATTAGACCTAGGAATGCTGGTGGGGTGGCCAAAAGGTGGGAAACCAGTGGGGCTGAAGGAGGAAGGGCAGGATGGAGCAGCCAAGGAAGTATTAACCTTATAGTTCCTAGGGAGGGACAATTCCTGGGACAGGTTACTTTAGCAACTGTTGGAGCAAGGGAAGGTTCTTGATAAGGGTGGAGGAAGGGCTGTGAAGGAATTAACATTTCAGTC